CTCAAGTTGTGGAGGTAATGAGGGTCGTCAATCAGAATTTGTGATGCTATATTTCGTTCGACGTATATTGACGTTTGTTTTCTAGTCTAAATTTATTCAAGGTGTATCTATTTTTGGCCTGATATGAAAGTTTGAAAAAATATTTTGCTGACCAGAGGAATATTGCATTTAAAAAAAAAAAATAGGTAAAATTGCATAAATTTTTGCATTCAAATATCAACTTTTGTTATTAATGTTGACTTAAATCATTAAAATTGCGGCTGGAAAAAATTTTATAATATTTATTATGAATATAATTTTATACGCAAACACTATTAATATTTGGCTAAAAAAAAAAATACAAATTCCCGATTGTCCACAAACCTGACCTTTCAAAAATCATTTAAACCACTCTTGTAAATCCAATTGTTTACTAGCCTGTCCACTCGCCACAATACTTTCGTCCTTTTTTTTATTCTGGCAAAGATGATGGCATGAATTGAAAATGCCACGGCTCAGAAAGGGTGGAAAGAATGCGATTGAGTTTGAGCTCGTCCTTTTCCTCTCGAATCTTTGATCGCCAGCCACAGACATTCCATGCCGGCTACTTTCTCGACGCAGCTATAGGACTTTTGAAAATAGCCCTTGTCTTTCTCAGGCCGGCGGCAGCGTCAACTTTGGACCAAATTGTTAGCCCCGAGGGCGATTTATTTTCCCCATCATCGCCCACACAAGTTGCGCGCCACCGCCGCATCATCGTAAATCAGCAGAGACGACACATCGAAGCAGCAAAGAAGCGAAACTCGGCAGTGCTCTTATTAGATTGGCGGCGAGCACGCGAAAGTGAAACAAAAAGCTGAGAGGAAGCCACAACAGCACTCGTCCCGATATGCAAATCGCAGGGTGTTGCGGATGAGCCCACAAAGATATGCATCTTGCAATCGCTCGCACACGCACGCACCCTGCACCCCCACATCAAAAAGCGTTTCTTTAATTCGATTTGTGAATCAAGATTAATTTATTAATTAGGTCAACTTGATTTGTGGAAAAAATTAAGTAATTTTGCAATAGAAATTCACGATCAAGAGAAAATTCATTGTGTTTGAATTGAAAATATTCTACGATTGTGTTTATCATAAAAAACAATATACACCCTGTCCATTGCCATTAAATTTCTGATCGTCAAAATTGTCTACTAAAATTTCAGTTTATTTCAGTTAATTAAAAATAATGAAGCAATATTCATAAGATACTTCCATTACAATAATCTCATAATATTTGATGATTCTGCATACAGTCATTTAGATCAATAATATTTTGATGTTTCATGCCATTATTAAAATATGAAATGTTTGTGGATTTTTAATTATTCAGATATTATGATAAAAAACAATTTAGTATGTATTTATTTTATACACAATTTAATTGCAAATAATCTAATTGTTTCTTTAATAATTATTATTATATTTCATGAAAATATAAAAGTGGAAACTTTAATTTTTAGATTCTTCATAAAATATTGATGGAAAAATTATTGTTTCTTTTTCTCCTCTTCTCACCAACAGCTCGTCATCGAAATCCCAGAAATCAGATGCATAATATAATATTTCTCACTAAGTCAGTTAGTATCTATACATTTCTTTTCTATTCAAACTTTCAACACAGAAAAAAATTGCTCCACTCTCATTTTTCACGTAGCAAGTGAAGGATAAAATGACAAATTACCCGGTTACTTGGAAGTGAAATCCATTTCCAAATAAATAGCAATTATTCAAATGAGCTACAGAGACCAAACGAATGCGGCCGAGAGCCGAGGCGAAAGTTAACCGATCTCATAATTGAGTTAAAATCGCACGACTCAATCTGGACACGCATTCTTATTCCCATCCCCAAGTTAATCACAACAGGGGGCGCGAGCCGGCGCTAAAAAAGCCATTATCCCTCTCGAAAAGGTCGAAATTTACAATGCAAATTCATTCTCGCGGCTCTATCTCTGCACGAGGAGCAAATTGAATTTGCATGGAAAGCCGCCTGCATCCGTCCGATCCGCCAGACTCACGCAGCACGGCGTGCACTTTCAAAATCGGCAATTTCCTGCAGCCGTGAACTTTGCCGTGCGCTCTCAGCTTGATGAAAAATTTCATTAACAGGTTAAGGGCAGTCGGAATTTCTTCATGAATTAGGACGCTTCGTGCCAAAAAATGCACAAATAAAAAAAATTTTGGTAAAAAAAATTAAATGATGCGCGAATGACGTATTTTTTTTTTTATTATTGAAAAACAAGATTATAAAAAAGTGATATTTAATTAAGTTTTTTATTTTGTCAATATTTCAGTATTTTTTTTAATTATTTTAAATAAGTAAATTTTTTTTTATTCTTTAAAGTTGCAATGTTTCCTTATTGATGTTGTATCTTCAAAAAAAATTCTGCCAAAATGATTGTATAATGAATCAAATGTTTTTATTTATTGCGCGTGTTTTTAAATTAATTTAATTAAAATTTATGAAATTTAAATATAATTCTTTTCCAATTGCAGCAATAATTTTTTGATAAACAATTTAATCATTAGTTAATTCACGTCTACGTCTATGGTTGCTTGTTCTGCGGTATATGAATGTTTTAGTGGAAAGGGAAAATAAATATGAAACCATTAAAAATCAAAATGAATTACATAACTGGATAATAAAAAAAATTTTAAATTGGTTCTCGTTCCCAATTTTTACTTTTATTTTTTACCTTCCCGCGGTCGGTTAAGGAGAAGAAGCACAAAGAAAATTGGAAACTTTAACTGGGTTAAGAAAGAACAGCGGTCCTTTCTTTCTTCCTCTCACAAAGAGGCGCATTTTTCGCGTAAAGATGCAGGACCGAGTTAGTTTTTATTCAAATATATCACCGCATTCGCCCTCTTCGCATTTCCCAGAGACGCTTCTCTATCAACATCGTGAATCAAGTTCCTCTAGCCTTCGCCTTGAAAAGCAAAAAGTTTGTTGCGAAAATGGCATCTCTCACGTTTTGACCGCAGAGAGATGGAAAGCTCAGTCAGTTTTCTTTCATTCTGTCCGCAGGTGTTTAACAAGGAATGATGCGGAATAGAATCGATAGTCGGTTGAAGACGTCACCCTGCGTGATTTTTAGATCGCTCGCGAATAAGTGCCAACGCCTAGCCTATGACATCAGTCGCAGCAAAAACGTCATCTAGACAGTGCGATTCAAATGTCAAAAGACGAGCAAAAATCATTCACAGTCAGTCGTTGTGAACTCAAGTGATAAATTATTGGATTATAGCGTCAATCTTCGATTACGTATTTATTAATGCTTTACATTACCATTATATTAATTCATTAATTTCAATGAATCTCAATTGAGATAAACAAGTGAAAAATTTACGCAGCGTCATCAAAAATTAATGATTATAAAAGTTATAAAATATTTGAAATAAATATATTAAGCTTGACTTTTAAATTTCCGAAAAGCCAGTAGAGTCTAAAATCTTTGTTATATGTGAGCGCAAAAAATATTACGACGAGAAATCGGAGTTATAGTATAATTAAGAGAACATAGTCAAAAAGTATTTATTTAGAATTATTATAAGTATTTTAATTTTTTATGCCTTTTTTAGGGAAAGGCACCAGCGGTAGCAGACAGGCCTGCTAAATCGCAAGGGCCGATAATTCGGATCCTTCCCTTTCGGAGCCGATAACACGGTGACCATGGGACCCGCTGGGCGGAGGAGAAAGGAACATTATGATGGGGTTTGGCTGTTGGAAATTTCAAGAATGAGGAAGGTGAGCGGCTGCGGCCTATGATTGGGAAGGAACTATGCCGGCATTCGCCTGGAATGTCTTATGGAAACCGCAGAAAACACCAGACTGCAGATGAAATGCCTGAATCTGCCTGTCGCAGTGATCAATGCGTCTCCTATGATTTCCTGAAGTCTTATTGTAAATCATAGGAGATGCATTGAAATTAAAAAAAAAATCTTCTTCGTGATTTTTTTTTGAAACAATGCTTTTGTATTTTAACTTTAAAATTTAATAAAGCAATATTCTTAACAATTTGTATTGGCGCAGCAGATTAAAGCGCTAACATTAATTTATAACAATCTGTAAATTAATCAAAAGAAAACTGATTACCTCCCGCACCATGAATTGTTTTTATTAATTAATTTACTTAAATTAATCAACCATAATTGTAACTATCCACTTTCTGGCAACAACAAAATCTGAAATCTACATTCTAAGGTTAAATTTTTAAAGAATAATTAAATAGATTCATTCGTTTCTTGTTTTTATTTAATAATAGGCAGATATTAGGGATACTCTTTATCAGGTGTTTGAGATATTGTATATTTTCTCATGCAACGGTATAGCAAAACGAGCCCAAAACACCTCATTAAATTGAGTATGTCGCATATTTGAATGTTAAAATTAAAAATAAATAAATTCGTTTAGTAGCGAATGAAATAAAATAGGGAAATGGGGGTGTCTTACCGGCAGCAGTGCGACGGGTCCGAGCAGCAGCATATCAGGAAGAGTCCTCGTGAGTCGTCATGGTGGTCGCCGCGTGGTCACCGTCTCTGCAGACCACCGCACCGAAGCAATCACTCGCCCGCCCGCCACTGCCGACCGCGACCCTCCATGCTCTCGCCGCCCGCCCGCCCGCCGCTGCCACGACCAGAGCGCCTCCAGCGTCCGCACCTGCAACGGTCCTCGTCCTCATCTTGACACGCCGCATTTTTGCACGTCTTTGAAAAACACTTCCTACTTTCGGTGTGGTTTTTGCGACAACTGAAGCTGGTATGTATATAGGGGTTGCAGCATAACAGGTGTAGGTGAGCAAGAGGGAGTTGTGTGGAGAGGGGGCGTTGCATGTGCAGATGAGTGGTGAGCAGCACCATGAGTCATCGTAATTTTTTTGGTTGTGTGCATGTTTAAAAAAATTATTTTATAAAAAAAACTATTTTTCTTAATAAAATTAAATATTTATTAATAAATTATCAATTAGTTTGAAATATTAAAATATTATTAACAGAGAGAGCTGCACATAATTTCTTAAATGTAAAACCTTACAAAGATGTGTCAAAAATATTTGGTTTGATTACAATATTACAGCATTATCAATTTCAACATTTGTTTGCAAAATTAACATAAATATTATTTATCATTTTATCACATTATTTCCACTGACAATATTTCTTAGTATATTTGCTTATGTTGCTTTGTTAAAAATTATAAAAATACGCTTCTCTGACACATGAAATAGATAATGTGGAGTGGTGACAAATTTAAATTGCATACAAATTAATCTAAAAATCAAATCAAGAGTAAGATATTATTTTTTACTGGTCCATCTGCAATAAATTTTTATAAAATACAAACAAGAATTTAATTATTATCATTGACACCACGTAAACTTTTAAACGGCTTTTAAATAAGAAAAACAATTACTCATGAAAATTCTTGATTCACTTTGAGGTTCCATGTGGAATCTAAAATAATTATTACGAAAAAAATTACACCTCAATTGATGGTTTCTCTAGGGTGTCAATGACTCTTTTGCTGGGAGGCACCAAGTGAGCTGGCAGCTCTGTAGGCAAATCGTGGCCGTCCAGCTTGACGTTGATCAGGTGCATGGCCAGAGCAAACTCATCAGGATCCATCATACCATCCTTATCTACATCGGCCAACTTCCAGATTTTTCCCAGCACGGTGTTGGGCAATTTTGATTTTATCATCTCTGACTTTGCAGCTGAAAGATAATAATTAAATCATATTCATTAAAATACATGTTCGGAATTTCAATTAATTTTTAAGCAAACACCTGCAGAGGTAATTTTTTCATCGACTGGTCCCAAAGTTTTAAATACGGCATCTGTGTCAGGTCGAAGTTTGTTCACAACCCATTCATTGTCTCCAGCACCTTCGTCGATGCCCTCGCCTTTCTTGTATCCAAAAGGACTTTCTTTGTTTTCAACGTAAGAAAAGGCACCTGTTGAAATAAACATAAAAAAGATATTGAAAACCAAATTTTTAAAAGAAAAATGAAAGATTTCGAATAATACATTTTGTGATTGAAGAGTAAAAATTTAAACATAAAAAGTAGAGGCGGCTCCATGTGTGTTAAAGCAAATAATATTAATAATTATATACATACAACACAAGAAATATTGAAAGCTTTTGAGTAAATTTTGGTTGGTGCTATTTTTACACAAAAATTAACAAACAAATAATTATAAATTATAAATATGGCACCAAATCAGAATGAAATACCTTTAATAAAAGGCTCAACTGGGTTCTCAACCTCTTCTTTGGCAATGATGTTCATCAGAGGAGCAATGTCCTGCGCCATCATTTCGTCAACCGCAAATATCAAATGCGGCCTCAAAGAGTTGAACTTGGTGAAATCTTGGCTTGTTAGCTTGTCCTATGAACAAAAATTATAGACGTTTCCTATTAACACGTTCTTCAAAATATCCCATTTAAAAGTATACAACAACTGCATTTTCTTCAAATCAGGGAGATCCCCTTTGGAAATGTTATACTTCTTTTCAATTGCTTCATAAATATGACAAAGATTTTCAATCATCTCCATCTTCTTGGATTCTGCACCAAAAAACCTTGGCGTTCGACTCTTCAGAGAAGAAATAATAATGGCATGGACCTGAGAAATAATAATAAATTTTAATATAGTCCTTTTAAATTATGAAAATATTAGTATTTAATCATATTAAATAAAAGGTAACTTTATTATTCTTGTTATTTTTAACCATAATCTGTGAGACCTTTGCAAGACGGGCTCTTTTGATCAGGTCGTTGAGCTTCCTGAGGGCTGCGTCTTTAGGCAGCGACTGCAAGTCTTTGAACAAGTCCTGCTCCTCATCTTCAAATAGTCTATTTATGATATAACTTTTTTTTTTTTTAAAGTAACTATAAATCTGTATTTTTTAACCTCTTATTTATATCATATTGTAGAGGTTGATCCCAGAAGGAGCCAGTGTAAACTCGGGCAACTTCAGGAGTGTTCAGGACTTTTCCAAGGCTCCACATGAGGGCACCGTAGACCCGCATCAGTTGCTGGTGGTCGACCATGTCAGCCTTGTTGAGCACAATCCGGATTTTGTCGTCGTGCCCTCTTAGTGCTTCGATGCTGCGACGAAATTCGTCCGAGATGTCCAATTTGTGTGCATCAAAAAGAAGAATGATTCGGTCCACCCTCTCAGCAAACCACTCGAGGACACCAGTGAAATCATAACTAAAAACACGTCATGGTTTAAAATTAAATTTAAAAAAAAAAAAAAACACTATTTCTCACCCTCTGTCAGTTCGTTGCTTTTCTCCAGAGAGAATTCCTGGTGTGTCCACAATGGAGATTCCTCTCAAGACATCACTGTCCAACTGGGAACACTGGAACCTGTTGAGGAAAGCATTTCCAAATTTGCTGAGCGGACGGAACTGCTTTTTAGGATCAACAACAAGCGCGTTTCCCGGGATCACACCTGTTGCATTGCCTAAAACAAAAATAAAAAATTATGAAACATATTATTACTTCTTTCATTAAAAATATTTTCTTCTTCTTCAAATTTACATAATTTTTTTAATTTTAATAAATATCACAAAATTTTAAAAACTTTTTACCGTGCATAACTGCAATAAACTTGTCTGTGGTTGGCTCTGGGCCGATCCTAATGCCTGGAAAATCGTTCCCTAGCAGATACTTGATAAGGGTGGTTTTTCCCGTCGAGTACTGCCCAACGAGCAGAATCATGGGCTTGGCGTCGAAGTCAGGGTCATAGAGCTTGGGCGAGTGGAACTCATGAAATTTGTAGTGGCTTTCCAAAGGCAGAAGCTTCTGTTTGTAGACATGCTTGAGGCCCTCGACCACTGTCTCGTAGACCTTGATTGTTTCGCTTCTCTTCAGAAATTTAAACATTGTAGCGTCTGAAGAAAAACTGAAAAAAATGATAATGTTAGCATATTTTATTAAATTAAAAGAGCAAATTTATATTATCTTCTTTATACACCTTAATTTTTTTTATCATAATTTTTTAAGGGCAGAAGTTTAAGGTATTTTTACTTGAATTATTTAGTTTTAAAATTCAAAAAGAGACAATATGAATAGAATGCCTATAAATTTTCCGTTTTCACAAGTTCTCCAAACTCGGCTTAAAATTACTACATAATTTCGGTGGAAAAATAAAAATAAAAGTATGAGACTATTTTAACTATCTTTTGAATTGGTATGACTCGTCTCCTTCGGCTTTAAATACTAAGATGCAAGTTTTCAATCATTTGGATGATTTTGATCTACATTATGACTGAAATATCTCTTTAACTAGAAACTAGACCCTTCATCAGTTAATATGTCACATTAAATTATTAAAGTCACTCTAAAACATAATTTGAAACTAAAATTAAGTTATTTCTCACCGAGTTACGGAGTACAGTATTATGCCGCATAAACTTCTCATGAATAAATACCCAACATTCCAACATTGCCAAAATTCAACGCTTGTGGCTTGTCAAGCAACCAACCAAAAGCAACAAAGACTTTCCTTATCTTCGAGAATTTATATAAAATAGCAGCACAGCGAGCGACTGTATTGGGGCGACACCTACGGTGCAAAAAAAGCTAGTTTAATATAGCAAAGCGCGCGCCGCGTGTTTCCTTCACCGCGTTTAATAAAAGCATTATTATTAGTTAGGGATTATATAGCTGTGAGAATAGCAAAGAACTCAAGTTAATCATGGGCCTAAATTAATAAAATGATAAGATTACGAGTGTATTAAAATTATCCGAGGTTGCATCAGATTAATTTTATTAGCACTTATCAACGAAAATAATTTCATGGAACTCTATTATGTAATACAAAATGTGGACAAATTTGTCTCAAATTTAATAAAAGCAAATTGACAAGACGCCGTAATTTCATAGATTTTAAATTAATTCCCGATTTTCCTATTACGGCAATTAAACAAACGCAAGTTTGAAGATTGGACCTTGGTATCACATGTTAATCACGCTGTGATCAAAATTTCCCAAAAATCTAGACAGTAAAAGATAATATAAAGGACGATTGCGCCCGCGTCATCCACAAAAGCGTGCAATTACTCGTGGGCACTCTAATCTTATCGACGGGTCGATTGTGGCGAAACATTTTTCAGAGTACATCTGCACTAGACCAGCATAGTGGTTGCAAGTCTCGACAGTTGTCCAAATCAGTTGTCTGTTTAGTCTTTAGTAAATGGAATACATTAGATTCGACACTTTCAACTGTTGATCGTTCAAACCCTAAGGTACGAAAAAATGAATATCTATATTTTTAAATTATTACATAATGTTTTAAAATTCACTTTATATGACTAATTATTATTAAAATCTAGCTCTTATGCATCTTGTAAAAATTAGTAATTATTTAATAATTAAAATTCATGGAAGTTACTTTTTAAATTGCTTTAAATCAATTCCGCCTTTTTTTAAATTTCTTGAATTATATAAATAACTATGATAAGAAATTGGTAATTTATTGCTAATGGAAAACTTTGAAATCCATTTTAATTATCAAAAGTTGTGTATATACGATTATTTTAATTTTTTTTTGCCTCTTAATTCACAAATCAAACAAAACTTTTCATCATATTTACATTCAAATAAAAATTTAAATTATTAATATTTTGATTGTCTATATTATCCATTATCCCTCATGAGAATGGCACCAGCGGTAGCAGTCAGGCCTGCTAAATCTCAAAGGCCGATAACACGGATCTCCCTTTTGGGCTGTTAACACGGTTTTCCTTGGACTTGAACCCACTGGGCAAAAGGAAAATAAAAAATAGAAGAGAATTCCAATAATACACAAATTTTAAGTAAAAAAATGCAAACTTTTTTTAAAATTAATTTAAAAAAAAATTACATAACATGTCCAAAGTGCATGCGTTACATGCATTAGTTTTGAAGGTCAGCATTGACACCGCTGACAAACACCGACAACAAACTTATCGATTACCGTAAATGCAAATAGCACACGAATTGGGCAGTGCCGGACACACTACGGCTCTCATAGACCGTACATATAATGTCGACGCCAAAATCAATACAGTCATCGTGCACACACGGCTCTGACATCACGAGAGTCGCGTTTCTGCAGGCAGTGGCGCAACAGCCGCGCTCTAAATAATTGACACCCTGTTCTTCCACCGTCGGCATGAGGTGCCTTCCCATTTGCCTAATCGGCCCGGTCGAGGGCACTTGATGACCACTCCGAGTCGGTTGGTTGCAGGTATGCCCGAGCGCACCGTCGCCGGCAGCTTCTCGCTGCTGCTGTGGAAAAACACCCTCCTGCAGCGGCGCCACCCAGTGCAGTCGCTCATCGAGATCGGCGCCCCCATCGTCTTCAGCATCCTCCTCGTCGTCATCCGCAGCCTTGTGGCGCCGACGCCCTTCGTCAAACCCTTCGACTACACGCCCTACAGCCCCACCAGGCTGCCGCTCATCACCAGCAACAATGGCACAAATATTTTGGCAAAGTAAGATTTTTAGATTTTATTAATTTATTTTATTTTAATTTCATTTATGAAAACCAGCATTTTCAAAGAAGGTACTAAACAATTTTATTTGATATAATTATATTATTAAAGGTGGTTCTAATTATTTAAAGAATTTTAAAAAGCAATAAAGATAAAGCTTATGATGCATATTTGAATATTGTTATTTGGTAAGCATAAATTTACGCATAAAATTGATTCAAATATAAAAATTAAATTAGTAGTAAGTAGGGAAACTTTAAAAAAATGATAAATTAATTATTATTAAAATATTTTTTAATTTAAGTATAAAAGTTTAAAAAAATTAGAACAATTCAAAATAAAGAAGTGCAGGACCCTCCATTTAAAAGGAGCGTGGTAAACATTTTTGCTGATTGTTATGGCCAAAAGTAAGATTTTATTAAGTTTGACTTCTTTCTCTGATTTTCTTTCGGCCCTATTTTCCTGAAATTTTTATATCATTTTTATTTAAAGATGGAACATAGCTTGGACCCCAAACCACCCCGCCTTGAACGAAATTATGCAGAAAGTGGCATGGTCATCTGGAATGAAACGTAACAATTACCATATTTTTTTAAATAAAAATAATTCCTAACAAATTCTACACATCCAGAAATTGTATTTGAAAATGAAGCGACGATGCTTCAGAACTTGACGTCTGAATCACCGTCCGCCGTTTTCGTGCCAATGATTGCCGGCGTAGTTTTCGACGGGGTCAAAAACTTGAATGACCCACTACCTAACAACATCAAGGTATAGTAATAAGTCTAATTTACAAATCTATTTAGGTCACGATTCTCCTCTTAAATTAGATCAGAATCAGATTTCCAGCGGAGAAGCGATTTAAGGGATCGTTCGGCGTTTATGACGTGCCTTTACCAATCGTTTGGTTCACCGGATTCTTATTCCCCGACTACCAAATTCCAGGTCCGCGATCAAATATTTCCAACGAAGGTGGCCCTCCAGGTAGATAAATTTTTATTTAATTTCTAATCTCTTTTACTTAAACATTTTAAAATATTTTTCTAATTATTTATATTATATATTTAATTTTTTAAATAATTATATAATGTTTTACTTTCATCAGAAGAATTGTAAAATCGTCTAATGTAAATTTAATTCAATTCATTTAAGGCTACTCTCAGGAAGGATTTTTGACCCTGCAGCACTTTATTTCCAAATCGCTGATAGAATACCGGCAAAATAAACCCTTACAGGACGTCAGTATTCGCCTCCAACGGTTCTCACACCCTGAATATATCGACGACCCTCTGCTAGTCGCTCTTCAAAGTTTTGTCTCCTTGATAATAATGTTGAGTTTTGTCTACACAAGCATCAGCTGCGTCAGAATGGTCACGACCGAGAAGGAAAATCAACTCAAAGTAATAATAAATTTTACAATTTTGAATTTTTTTTTAAATTTTTGTGTAATAGGAATCAATGAAAATCATGGGATTGCCCAACTGGATGCATTGGACGGCGTGGTTTTTAAACTTCATGACCTTGCTCGTTATCGCAATTATTCTAATGGTAACGCTGCTCAAAGTGGACTGGTACGGAATCCGCCTATCTGTATTTACGAACAGCGACCCTTCCGTCATTTTGGTTTTTCTCATCCTATTTGCGATGTCGACGTTGACGTTTTCCTTCCTTATCTCCGTCTTCTTCTCCAAAGGTAAGAAAATTTCATGTGAACAATATCAGCAAAATCATCGTGTCACGCGTATTTGCACGCGGTATACTCATTTTTATCACAATTAATCTTCGAAGGTAATTGCCAACGGCAAACAGATAACAGTCAGATTTATGATAAAAATAAAACGCTATTAATCGTCACGATAAGGGCGATTTTTACAATCCGCGAATGACGTAAAACAAATAGAAAGGAAAATGTTTCAAAATTATTCATAATTATACTCTAAAATGGAAATTAATTTTTTAGCTCTACAAACAAATGGAAGAAATTTATCTTTTTCTTTGTAGTTTCAATTTTAAATTTAAAAAAATAATTTATATAATAAGGGCCAAGGTTACTTTTTAAACCCGCGTCTTTCAAATTGCATCTCAAGCTAATTAAGTTAGCCTATGAGCCAGTACAGATTTTGTGATCGCCCCCAATATTTTCAAAATTCAATGAATAAATAAAATTTAATTTTAATTTTACAGCAAACACAGCAGCCACAATTGCCGGTGTAGTGTATTTCTTGAACTACTCCGTCTACTACTTTGTCGAGAGCAACTACAACTATTTATCCACGGGCAGCAAACTGGCGGCCAGCCTCGCATCCAATACAGCCATGGCCTTTGGCTGTCGCTTCATCATAGAGTTCGAGGGAACCGGAGAGGGTGTCCAGTGGTACAACCTTTTTTCACCACCCTCGCCAGACGACGGGTTTACTTTGGGTGGAGTGATGGGCATGCTCATTTTCGACGCAGTTTTCTACATGCTGTTGGCGCTTTACGTCGAGGCTATTTTCCCTGGGGACTATGGAGTGCCCCTCCCGTGGTACTTCCCTTTCACGGTAAAAAAATTTATTAACTTTTCTTCTCAACAAACAACAAAAATTGAGATAATGAACATAAAATGTTCGCAGCAATCGTAAAATAATAATCTGTTAAAATTTTATAATATGATTGGCCGAAAGAAAACGAATTTTAATAAATTTTATTTAGGCTGAATTTTGGCGCGGATCAAATATTGGTTCTGAATTTGTACCAGACAATGTGCACACGGACAACCCAATGTTTGAAGAAGACCCGCACGATTTGCCAGCTGGAATACAAATAAAAAATCTCCATAAGGTTGTTAATGCACCACCCAAACTATCAAGTCGCTTATTTTTTTTTCTTTTACTTATTTACGTGAATTGAAGGTCTTTGCCGGAGCAAAAGCTGCCGTGAGCAATGTGACTGTGAATATGTATGAGGGCCAAATTACAGTCCTGCTCGGCCACAACGGAGCCGGAAAAACGACGACCATGTCCATGTTGACCGGTGAGACTTTTAATAATTAAGCGACGCGTGACCACAAAGAATGCAAAAATGAATATTTTAGGACTTTTGACGCCAACAAGTGGAACGGCCACGGTAAGTGGGTATGACATTCGCACGAACATCAAAAAAGTTCGCGAGAGTTTGGGACTCTGTCCGCAGCATAACATCCTATTTGATCAGCTCACAGTCAAGGAACATCTCATTTTCTACTGCAGGGTAAATTATAAAATGTCAAAATCTTTCCATTCATGTCAATTTTATCCTTGAATTAAAATTTTGAGCTAAATAATTCATAATAATTTTCCAGTTAAAAGGGTTGAGAGGAAAAGAAGTTGATGCGGAAGTGAAAAAGTACATTGAGCTGTTAGATTTCCAAAGCAAAAAGAATTCGTACTCCAAAACGCTGTCAGGTGGAATGAAAAGGAAACTTTCGGTTGGAGTTGCTCTTTGCGGGGGCTCAAAGGTATTTAATGATTTTTAATAAATCCGATTTTGTAAATGAAACAATAATTTTAAGGTGGTAATGTTGGACGAACCCACGTCGGGAATGGACCCTGCCTCTCGAAGAACTCTTTGGGACTTTTTGGATAAAGAGAAAAAGGGACGCACGCTGCTCTTGACAACTCACTTCATGGACGAAGCAGATTTGCTCGGGGATCGGATTGCGATCATGGCCGCGGGAAAACTGCAGTGTTATGGATCACCGTTCTTTTTAAAGAAAAAATACGGTAATATATTGCTTCAGAAAAAAATTGACCTTTTCACGACACGTCTGTCGTTTCAGGAACGGGCTATTATTTGGTGATCGTGCAAGGTAAAAATTGCAATACCAAGGGAATCACGAATGTGCTGAGAAATTACTTGCCTGACATGAAAGTGGCCACAAACATTGGCAGCGAATTATCCTATCACTTGCCTGAGGACAAAGTGACCATGTTCGCACAAATGCTGGGTGACATTGAGAGTCACAAAGAAGAACTTGGAATTTTGAGCTACGGAATCTCTCTATCCACGATGGAAAATGTTTTCGTTAAGTAAGAGCAAACAAATAAATTTAAATACTTTGTAATTTGACACATTTAAAAAGGGCTGGAAGGGACGTGGAAGTGGACGAGTATGAATTTGGTGACAAGACAAATGAAGAGTTGGTGAAATTCAGTAGCAATGGCACACTCAGCACTGAAGAAGTCTTCGACGCTGGCTCAGATACAAAACGTAAGGCAAACAAAAATCAAAATTTGCTCAATTAATTAAAAAATGAATTAAATTTTGATTTCCAGTGGATGTCCAATACAACTTGAACCGGAAATATGGTGGATGGAAATTGTTGCGAAACCAGTTTTTCGCCATGATCATGAAAAAAGCGCTTTCGCAAATTCAGTCGTGGCTTTTGTACTTCATCCAAAGCATTTTGCCGGCGTTTTTCCTGATCATTGTCATAATTGTCGCTCGCACTTTGCCCGGACAAGAAAATTTCCCCGCACTGTCAATGTCACTCAAAGTAAGGTTTTAAAGTGAAATTAAAATAATAAATTAACTTCTTTTAAATAGTCCTACCCAACGCCTGTGACACCCGTTTCGCTGCAGGCGAACGAAGTTTCAGGATTGTTCAACAAATATGTGGCAAATTTGAATACTGACGGATTGAAAACGGAAATCTTGAGCCCCACACAATCAATGCGGGATTTCATTTTGCAAAAGGTTATTATTTTATATTAGAAAATAATTTTTCTTAAACATAATATTTACAAAAAAAAAATAAAAAATAGGGTCGCAGCGATATTGTGGCATACAATTTGCTGTACTTAGCGGGAGCCACCTTTGACTACAACAAAGAAACAAGACGCCAAAACATCACGGCCTGGTTCAGCAACCAACCCTTGCACGTCGCCCCTCTCACCCTCAACCTTGTTTACAACGCCCTGCTGAAATTCTACGTGGGAGATCAGTATGGGATTGAGATCATCAACCACCCTCTGCCCTACAGTTCAGAAACAAGAGTAATGTACCGGAAATAATTGTTTTTTGATTGACTGATTTGATTTAATTGCAGGTAAAGCTGCAGCTGAGTGGCACGTTTAGCAAAGGGTTCAATTACGCGTTCAACATTGGCTTCAGCATGGCGTTTGTGTCCGCATTCTACGTCCTGTTCTACGTGCGCGAGAGAGTGACCAAATCCAAACACCTGCAGTTCGTGTCCGGTGTGCAGGGCTGGATGTATTGGTTCACCGCTTTTCTCTGGGACCTTGTCGTTTTCATTTCTCCAGTCATTTTGCTCTGCATAGTGTTTGTTTCTTTCCAAGAAGAAGGTCTCAGGACACCGGCGGAATTGGGTGAATAATTTAAAATAATAACTATCATTTGGGTCTTTTGTTAGTTCTTACAATTGGTGTTTATGTTTTGGTGTGTTTGGATCTTCTGAAAATTTAATGAAATTGATTTCAGGTCGCCTGATATTTGTTTTATACGCGTTCGCGTGGTGCGTGCTGCCAATTACTTACTTAACATCATTCTTCTTTGACGTGCCATCAGATGGGTTCTCACGACTTACAATTATCAGCACCTTCTTAGGTTCGATTATTTTGTCCAATTAAACCAAAGCTTACTTGAATTTTGACTTTATATGAAATAATTTAAAAAAAAAATAATAATAATAATACTTCATGTTGATTATAAATCAAAACAAGCAGCTTTTTAATAATTTTTTTGTTCGTTTAATCGTTTGAACTGCACAATTTTTCAGGGGTGGCCGCCTTTATGATTGTGGTGATTATGCAGACACCTGGATTGGGACTGGAAGACGTGGCCACAACTCTGGACTGGATTTTCATGCTGTTCCCGCACTACACGGTCACTATGTGCGTCTACAACTTGTACCAAACGTACTTGTCTATTAAGGTGTGCTCGCCAGTGTTGGAATTCTGCCCGGCACTTGCAACCATTGGTCAGCCCAACGCGTGCTGCAAAGGTATAAATCGCAATGCGAATAAAAAACATAATTCATAAAGTAAAATTTCATAACAAATTTGATGTTTCAAATTCTAATGATTATATAAAAAAAATAGTAATAAGTAAGTGTAAAAATAATGCAATTTAATGAAATTTTAATACGAAACTTGAAAAGTAATATAATTAATTTTAAAATTTAATTTTTTTTAAGTAAAATATCTTTGTTAAATTTGTTTCTAAACACTTGAAAAAAAAAATGATTTTGCGATTGACTTGGGTCTTAACAATTAAAAATTTGTTTATAAATGTTCACACAATGCCTCTAGTTCCGAGTCAGTGTCCAAATGGCCAGTGTTTCCCCTGGACGGACAACTACTTTGACTGGGGCACCACTGGTATAGGGCGGCAGTTGCTTTACTTCTTCGCGGAAGGCGCGATCGTGATACTGATTTTAATAATCCTTGAGTACCACTTGTTCGACGACCTCATTGTTTTCATAAAGGCCAAATTCCTGCGCTACGTTCTCCGTGGTGAGTTTGAAAATCGGCTTCTCAAATAATTAATTTGCAAATGCGCCCTAATAGTTCACCCGGTCAGGCCCGAGGACAAGGAGGAGGACGACTCGGACGTCGCCGCTGAAAGAGCAAAAATAAACGACTCTGATATTATCGAGCTGAACCAAAACTACCTGCTGGTGATGAGGTAGGCGCGTGGCCCTGAGCCGCAAAGTGTTTTCCCATCAATGTCTTATTGTCGGTCTGATCGCGAGCGTGACGCAAGCTCCGACGTAAGGAAAGATCACGGGCTGTATCCGAACTGTGATTCAAGTATGTGTTGCGAAAATTGCTGTGAGCACATACATGACTCTGGCGCTTGGAGAAAAAGCAAAGCCGAGCCGAATCGATAATACAAAGACGCGCAATTGTTTTAGGAGATGAAATTTAGTAAAGATTCAACTTCTATTTTTTAAATATATCTTGAGAATCTTTTATCTTTTTGATATTTTAACAGCTTTATTCACTCAGCTGGATAATTCAATTTTTAAATAATATTTCACTTATTTTATTTTAAGGGACAGAATTTGTTTGTTCCATGAAATTGATACTTTTAATTTTGATGAAATGAAAAAAAGGAGTTGTTGAAAATATTGAACATTGAAATTTAAAATAAGCATAGTTTTACAACTCCACAACATATTTTTGAGCGAAAACAATTTACCAGAGGAATTCATTTCTTACCCACCATTTAGCCACTTTGTGCTAAAATGCATGAATTTATTTCCAATTGAGAAATAACCTTCATTGCTATATAAAAAATAATTCGTCTTTTGCACTTCCTTTGTAAAAACCCAACATAAACTCTCTATTTCGCCTAAAAGGGAAACGATGGGAAGAACCGCAAAGATGCATTGTGCAGTTTCGTTACACCGACGTTCTATGTAATAATTTGTACGCCAATCAAGTGAAACGAAACTGTGATTGACTATTGGAGATTATCTTGCGCAAATCAAGGAAGCGCATGGGTGGTCGCGATTCCACCATGCCAAAATTCTCTTGCAGTCTTCAGCAAAAAAGGAAATGAAGTATTGTTAAAATTAGTTTAAAACGTTCCTAAATAATTGAAATTAAAATTAATGAGAGAATGCAAAGCTTTCTAGCTTTCCAAAAACACATGAATTGGAAATATTAAATTATTCAAAACTGCAAAATGTCATTAAAATTTTTAATTATTTGCAAGCAACAGATTTAATTATTTAAATTAAAGTTAAAAACATATGGCAGAAAAATCGATTGACGTCAATTGAAATTAATTTATAGCAGCATCAACGTATAAAGATTTAATCGAAGCGTGAGAACCTGTGTGTTCTGTTTTGATTAATGAAGATGCTCATTAATTGAAGAAACGCCCATAGAAACTAGTTAAACAGTTACTGTTCCCACAATACCAGTTAGTATATTAAAGCAAAATCATAAATCCTGTGCGAGGGAGGGACACTCGTACGCATGCTAATTAATCTCCCATCGGCCAATTAATGCACCGGGAACGACAAGCGCGCGGGCGACGCAGAAGCAGTTTTACTTTCATTCCTGACCCACTTGAAAGGAAGCGAATCGCTGCGAGAAAAATTGAGTAAAACGGTTCAATGCAATCCGTCGATTTCAATAAATTCCAGAACAAAGAGTACAATAAAGTAAGCGCTCCAGTGCACGCCACGATAATACGCAACCGCGGGTAAATGACTTCATGTAATGCACAATCGTGCACTTGCAGCTTTGTGTGTTCAATGTCTCTGGTTAATTGAATCAACTCCTCTTATGAGCTAATTTTTACTTCATCGTATTTAACGATTTCAAAGTATTGCAGTTAATATGATCATTATTATTAATTTGAAAGTATAAATATATTGAACTAATTAAAACATCGAGATAGAAGAGAATGCAATAGAGAGATGGCTAAATTATTGAATAAATATTAGGATTCCAGATTCTATATATTTAATTAGTTTTAGGTATTAAACAAATTTTTAAGAAAAAAAAAGGAGAATAGATATAATTTGTAAATAGATAAATACTTTATTTCAAATAAATGATAATAAAAAATCAAATTATTTAATAAAATTAAATTAATATCATTTAGATGAAAATTTTTTATAAAATTATTTATATTATGTATTTTTTTTTTCAGGAATGTTACAAAATATTATGGCACCTTTTTGGCGGTCGATCGTCAAAGCATTGGCATCAAGAGCGGCGAGTGCTTCGGACTCCTAGGCGTAAACGGTGCTGGCAAAACAACCACGTTCAAAATGCTCACCGGCGACGAAAAAATCTCGTCGGGCGACGGCTACTTGTGCGGCTACAGCATCATCAGTCAGATGAAAGAGGTGAGCAAAAAGAATTGATTTGAGGAAGAAAGAGAAAGGCTAATTAACGGCCGGCAGGTTCATCAAATAATCGGCTACTGTCCCCAATTTGACGCGTTGCTGGACGACCTGACGGGCAGACAGACTCTCACCATCTTCTGCCTGCTCCGGGGCATCCCCTACAGGGACTGCGCCGAAAACGTGGACGCGCTCGCCAAAGAGCTGCTTTTCACCAAGCACATCGACAAGCAGGTCAAAAATTACAGGTGATTATCGTTTTCGTAAAGTCATGGTTTCGACCGACGGATGATCACGGGTCTACGCAAATTAGAGGTGCAATTGACCTGAATCGCCGGCGTTTTTCGCCAATTTTTTATGCTCGGCACGTGAAACCGAAAGGGAAATTGGTGGTCATCTGCAGCTGAATTAAACGATTATTAGAAAGAGAAAAGAGAATTTGATGCACGCAATTTACAGCCAAAATGGTCTCTCTAGCCTCAAATTGAGCTTTTTCGTGTTTATTTTTATCCATAGCAAGTTTGGCAAGTTTCATTTCATTTCATTAGGCCGAAATATAAATAATACTGAATAATTCAATGGAAATTTAAATATAGCCTGTTTTATTGACTACAATTTTTTTTAGGGTCAGACCTGTGCCCCTGTAAAAAAATATGAAAATAAATGAACTAAACCTTAGTAAAATTATTAAAATCGTCAAGATTTTCAGGTAAAAATCTTTAGAGCAAAAAATAAGAAACTAAAAATAGATTCCCTTTGAAACGTTTTAGAAATAATTTTTAATTTTACTAAAAAAAATGAGAAAAATTTTCAGATAAAATTATATTTACAAACAAAACAATACCCATATTTTGGAGCAATTATTTATTTGTTTTATGCTTTTCAAATGCGTAGAATTTTTCCGTTCGACCAACTCCAGTTTTTACAACCTTACAGTCACTTTAAGGTAACGAGCAAACAACCATAAATATAGATTATTCATGAAGGGATAAAAATTCCATCACGGAAATTCTGCAAGTGCTAAACAAATCGCCTTTGAGTGCCGCGCAGTGCCAATAAACAAATTGAAAGAGCGTTTTTTCTTCTTCTTATTTTCAAGCGGCGGCAACAAGAGGAAGCTGAGCACGGCCGTGGCCCTGATCGGCGACCCGCCCGTTCTGCTCTTCGACGAGCCCACCACCGGCATGGACCCTGTGGCCAAGCGGCACCTTTGGAACGTCGTGTGCAAAGCGCGCGACTCGGGCAAACTAGTCATTCTCACCTCGCACAGGTATTTAATAATTTGAGACGTAAATTATTGTTCTTACAACTAACTCACGACGGTCGTGTAATTAAAATCGTTAAAGCATGGAGGAGTGCGAGGCGCTGTGCACCAAACTGGCCATCATGGTGAACGGCGTGTTTAAATGCCTCGGCTCGACGCAGCACTTGAAGAACAAGTTTGCCGAGGGCTACACGTTAACAATCAAAGTGGCAGCCGAAAAGGTAAAAAGAGAAAAAAATTGATAATATAAATATTTTATTGATTGATTTTGATGGAAAAAAGTTAGCAATAAAATAAATAAAGTTAATCAATCAAGTCAATGATCAATCATGTTAAAAACAGAAATGAAAATTCAAGACTTGAAATCATTAAATATAATTAACGCAGAGTTCTATTAAATTAAATGATTGATTGACAAATTCAATAAATTACAATTGTGAATATTTTGTATCCATAAAATATATAAAAAATTTAATTGTTCGATATTTAAAAATTGCGACCTTTTTATCATTTCAGGAGAGAATTTCGCAAGAGCAAATGTTCAATACTCAGCCCATCAGAGATTTTGTGACGGAAACATTCCCAAGTAATTATTTTTGCTTGAATTTTGCCGATACATTTCATGTCATGTTTTAATTGAAACAGGCGCCGAGCTCAAGGAAGGTGTGCAGGGCATGCTTTCGTACTACATTAAGAATCCGGCCATTCTTTGGTCACGCATGTTCAGCATAATGGAGGAGGCGAAAAGGAATTTGAACATCGAGGATTACTCGATCGGACAAACAAGCTTGGAACAAGTATTCTTTGCCACTATTTTGTGAAAAAATTCTAACATTTAATCAAATTTCAGGTATTTTTGGCCTTTACAAAATATCAGAATCCAGTGCCCGATGATTAGAGTTTTTAGCAATTTACGAATAAAACATAAATTATTTTTGCTGAGATCTTACCTTATAAGAGTGTCACTCAGGCGGCTTGACGAGCTTCAAGATGTATCCTTTAAGCATTGAAACGTGGACTTGCTCCTGTGTATTATTTTTTCAAATATAAGCCAAATGTTGAAAAATTAAAAATTAAGAGTATTAACCGAAATTGTTGTGGTTTTGTTCCTCAGCCCAAGAATCCCATCTACCAGAGTTGATTGCTTCAGAGTTACTGTGTATTTGATATCTGATTGATCAGATCTATAAAAAATAAATACTATAAGACAAATTAAAATATACAAATTCCAACCTACTTTTCCTGTTGAGTTTGAAGAGGAGCTGCTCCGAAGTCCCTGTTGAGCTCGGCAGGAACGCCACCCCTTTCCAAGCATCTGGACAAAAACACTGCCAAGTCCTTCAAATCACTTGAATTATCTAAAAATGTAATTTTTTTATTTCAATTTTCAAATAAAATTCAAACAAAAACCCACCATTCACGTCAGCGTTGAAAACAATTTTAGGAGGAGTTTCAGAGGTCGCATTATTTTTGTTGCTTTTTTTCCTAGCTGGGCGTTTTGTGGCGAAAAATCTAATAGTCGGGACTCTGTGGTCCTGAAGGACGCGTAACTTGAGGAAGGATCGCAGCATTATTTTTTGTCAGTCTGGTCAAGCGGAATATTTCCAGGCGGCGCCACAAAGTAGTCCTCTTCAGTCTTGGAGGCGTTGGCCAGCACCTCTTTTTTACAGTTTCCGTCCGTTACTTCGTCCTTTTCAAGGTACAGCGATCTGGAAAAAATCAAAATAAAATAAATCATAAAAAGCCTAAAAATTCCAAATTATTTAATTATTTTTCAGTTGTTTTTTTTCATTTATTTTATTCATTATTTCATGAGAAGATATTTTGTAAACCTCCCTTAATTGCAATCACTTACAATTAATATACATTTTTCAGTGAAAATCAAATTAATCACACTAATGATTATTTAGTTTCATCAAATTTAAAAATACGCAAAGCGTTTTGATAATTTTATTCCAATTCAGTATATTTTATTTGAGATTTCAAATCATTAAACAAAATATCCATATCAGCCTGGTGCATTGAAAACAAAATAATAAAAGCTCTGATTATTAAAATGGTTCCCATCAGCAATTTTAATTTAAATCAGAATCAATTTAACCAAACATAATTATTAAATACATCATCATTTCCCCCTATATATAGTTGACCTTTTCGCTGTTGCAAAATAAGGAAAAGAAAATAATATATTTTTTAACTATTTTTCAAAATATTTTTCATCTTTTTCTTATTTTCTCTCATTTTATTATTTTCTGTTATTTATCTTAATTTGCTTAATTTTATGAGATTAATTTAGCTTTAGCTTCTGTCCCAAAATACACAGACTTTTCTTCAAAAGGCAGTAATATATTACCTGTCCTCTAGTACTGTGTACAGGGGTTGGACACCCTTGGTATCAACGGCTGCGATGGTGTCCGCGAGCTGGACGGCCGCCTCAAGTCTTCGGATGCCCTCCTCAGTGGCGAAGTCGACCAGAGCGACCCTCTCAAGCTGCAAGATGGTCTCTCTGTCGATCTTGGTCGGCTTCGGCAGCTTGGACGTGTCAACCGAGATGTCGTAGGGTGTCGGCGGGATTGCCCTGTGCAGAAGTCGTGTTGCAGAAAGTGTCCGAAGGCCGCGGAAAGCCGTCGGCACACCGAACATGCTGGTTTGTTTACTGTGAAAAATAATTCGCGACTTCGCGTCGCCTGGTTGTGGCGCTGCGATCGCCGCGGCAACTGGAACTGGAGACGAGAGGAATCGGCACTTGAGCAGAAAAAACTGATCGATTTTTATTTGATTATAATTAAAAAGTATTTTTTTAGAATATTATCATCAGAAATGCGTACAAAATTATAAAAAAAAATATGATAATGGAATGAGAGCACGTGGTTAGGGTCTATAGAGAGTTGAAATGGACGCATGATTTATGAGCACTTCCCACTCTTGTGATTATGCGAAGTGGCCGTGGCTGCGCCGTCTACCGCGGGCTTCACACTTTATTCTCAGTCTCTTTTGCCGTCCCTCCGAAGTCTGGTCTGGTGCGCCTCAGTGGCGTTTTCTTTTTCTTTTTTGGCTGGAGGACTTTGTTTGACGGTTTCAAGTTTTGCTCCAAGTGAATTTCGCTGATGAAATTGTAATCTCAAGCGGAGAACTGGAAGATTCATCGCCTACATCAACCATGGAGAGCGACGAGGTTTTGAAGCTGGTCGACGGCATATACAAAGTGAGTTCTAAAATTTTGCGAATTTTCGTGCCTTATTAATTCTTTTTTACTCATTTAAGAGCAGCAAAATTATTCCTAATATCCTAATCATACTGTTTTCCAGTTCCCAAAATAATATCTCTATTACATAAAAGACTGAAAAAATAATTTTTAGGAAAGTTCACAGTCAAATCCTTTTGTTTAACTAATTTAAAACTCTTTCTTTTAAAATAAGCACTTACAATAATTAAAATCCTTTCATTTTTATCCTTATTTTAACAACTCCAATGCTTTTCTTGATATAATTAAATCCGAAATTAAATCAAAGTTTTTAAAAATAAACAATTGTTTTATCATCTCTTTTTGCCAAATTGGTTATATTAAAGAATAGTTTAAAGCTGGTGAAACTGAAATTTGGCTTTTTCAGAGTAAAAAATTAATGGTTTGTTAACTACAATTTTTTTAATTATTTTTTTTTTTAAACTTTTACTCCTGAGCATGTAGGATCTCTTAAGATTTCCTTTTTTTCCTTTGATATTATTTTTTAATTAAATAATTTCACTGCAATTATCTTAGCTCATTTTCCGACTTGCAAAATGAGACCATCGACTCTCAACTGCTGGAAGTTGGATGGGCGCCTCTCCCCTGTGCACTCAATGCACCCGTTTATTGGTATATAAATATATAATTTTCACTTGGCAGGTTTCTCGCAAATAAAATAAAACGCGACTCGGCGGCGGCGGCCTTATTAAATAAATAATGCGCGAATAAATGAATGCACTTGCCGGGAGAAACTTCCTTCCTCGCGCTCTGAATTCGTTTTGTGTGCAAAAGAGACACGATTTTTTTCATGAACTGGTAAACGGACATCGTGTGTGCTTTTTTTCACACAAAGAAAACTAGTGCTGTCCGTTGCATATTGAAAAAGAAGCGCTCCTCTTTTTCTACAACAAAAATTGGCGATTGTGCCAAGTTGGATGAAAGAAAAACCAACTTTAATCCTGTTTGCCTATAAAAAATATACACACAATTGTGTGCACGATATTCTTGAAGGATATAAAAAGGTTCAACTGCGCGTAAAATTGCTGATGTCACGTTTGAAATTGGACGTTAATCTGCAAGTGAATAGGGTGACAGGATTGCAAAGGAATCTTGCAGGGACGAGATTTTATTTTGATGACGGCGCACAAGCAATTTTATTGAGACGTTTCGTTTCCCTTGGAGACATTTTTTATGAACATTTTTTATCAGGCACATTGTTCATAAAGTTTCCTGCCATTTTAAATTTATTTAATTTTATTATTTTAATGAGAATAAAGGTAGAAAAATTAATACAGGATCTGCTGTTTTCTCTTATTACAGGAGCTAAAGAAGGTCACATTTTGCACTTATTTTAGTAGAAAAATTTTATGCACGTATTTTTGGTTCATATTTGGAAATTATTTTGCATTTTGGACTATAATTAAAGCTAGAGTCTATGGCATCAAATACTCAATCCATGATGTTCATATTTCAGTCAACAATAATATTTTGTATGTCATTTGATACTATATTTTTATTTAAAAATTTATTAACAAAGAGATAAATTAAATTGAAATAAATTTTAAATGTTAAAATGTATGTATAATTAATATAATTAAAAAATTAAAATTTTAAATATCTAAACTATATAGCACTATATAGAAATAAAAATTAAAGCTTAATGACAAGCAATTGAAGCAAATTTACAATATTTTATTTATTTTAGTTAATATTATACATTTTTATATTATAATAATAATAATAATAATATCCCCTTCAATAAACCAACTTGCCGAATCAGTTGGGAAGATCTCGTGTGAAAAACTCTTTATTTCTTTGCATTAGTAATGCAGACCACTGCTCTGCTGACGACGCTGCCACAAAATTAAACGTAATTACGGTCAGAAAAAGATAAACGCGGTCGAAAAATGGCCAAGATAATTGCAGTTCTCAGATTTTCTTTCATCGTCGAGCGATGAAAATTCATGAACCTCTGCTCGTTCGCTAGAGAGAGACGCTCTTTTTATTTTCGCAGGCACATCCGCGAGTAAAACCCCGCGCCAGTTTGCTCTCGTCCTTTAATTGCGGGCCATAAAAATTCGCCCAGCCACCAAATAAATAAGGACGTACGTGAAATAAAAGTACACACTCGTCGGTCGCAATTAAAATTTAATACACACGCATATACTCGAAGAAGAAGAAGATAAAATAAAACGAGACAAAACAGGCCGGCCGCTTTTTGTTTGGTGCGCTAGTTTCGATCCTCATTTCATTTTGACTCTGTTGACAAGATCGACTCATTTCCGAGGAAGAAGCTGCACAAAAAGCATCGGAGAACCTTATTTGCGCTCTCATGTTGTGTGTTCTTGATTTCTTTGTACGTGCGTGTATTTATTCTTGGCTTGTGGTCGGAAGAAGAAGCACGACAAATAACAATCGACCTGTCGTGTTTATTTCCATCCAAAGAGAGAAAGACAGTCCGTCAGCTGCGCGACGGCGGTTGCAATTGAGAATCAGTGAAAATGTGAAACTCTCCAGTCCATTTGTTTCCAAGTGCGTTGTCGATCATCTGAATAATGACTGCGGCTCCGGTGCGCGCGTTAGAATGTCTCTCTTTTTCTTAGCTTCTTAACTACTCTTATAAGCTTCAATTACAAAAAGATATACAAATATCTTCTATTCGGCCTGATTCATTTCAGACTGGGTCTTGAAAGTGTTAGATTATCAACTTATGAAATGGCGTTTCTCTTAAAATTGACAAGTATAATTATATTGTTATACATATTTTCAAATAAAAATAAAAATGCCAATGCTTGTTTAACTTGTTGTACAAAACCAGTGCATTAATAAATGATAGTAAACTATTTTAATTTTTTCAGTTCTCTCGTGCTATCCTTTTTTAATACATCTTTTAAATTTTTTTTAACTATAAGGAACTAAATAGCATTTTTAAAATATAAAACACGAAATTATAAAAAAAAAAAAACTCTATAGTAATAATAATAACTACAAGATAAAGGGAACATAATTTATTATGATCTAATTGTAAGAGAAGGAGAAAAAGCAGTTGAGGATAAGCTCGTTTTTAAGTACAATAATAATTTATTATGTTTATTATTTATTTAGGATCTCTAAAGTTAATTTAATTCCGTTTAATACTGTTAATTTTCTCATATATCTAGATTATTTGTTATTAAATTGTTAAATTTTTTATTTAATATAATTTAATAATTATAAAATTAAGTAGTGACGGCTAATATAAGCTTTAATTTCAAACCTAATTGTAAATTATACAATCTCTGTTTTTTCAAAGTTATAAAACAAACTTGCTCTGTTCTTTGGAATTGATATATCTACGAGATATCTCAATGAGATAAGTGTGTCTTAAAATAGCATTTTAATATTTCTGAAATGATGTGCCAGAATGTATGTAGCTTATAAATTACTCTGTATATTTGCAAGACTCTCCTGACAAAAATATCATCATTTAAGACTTTCAGATTCACACACTATAATTTTTTTCACCTCGCGGGTAGAGAGAGCAGCGAAACTTGAATGAAAGGCGCTACTTGTGCACCGCAAATAAATGATCACAATGCACGCGACGTGCAATTTTGCAGAGGTCATCGGATTCACGAGACGAAAAAACAGGGCGAACAATGCGCTTCGAGTTCAGGTGTCGCCGAGTCAGCATTGCTGTGGTGAAAACGTGCTGGCTTTTTTGCTCTTGTTCTCATCAATAATCGAATGCATGCATATGTATTATAAAGACGAAAAAGAAAACTACCTATTCTCACATGCACACAAGAAATCGCATGTAATTAAATACCGTGCCGTTTCCATCAACGACCAATCGAAAACAACAAACTGGCTCTTCGGATGCTGTTCCTCAGCAGCCGGTTATTGTGTGTGAGAAAAGCCGCTCGGTCGTGGGTACATATCATTGCTCGGCTGCACGGTGGAGGTGAAAGTACTCGCGGGAGATGAGCGGTGATTTGATAAAACACGGCGAAAGTTGCCGACACTCTCGCCATATCCGAGAGTCAAAAGGAGAGAGACCACCGTCATTGTCGGCAACAACAATGAGACGCCCTCTAAAATATCATATACGAGTTGGTCAAAAAACGACCCACGGTTTGGGCGAAAACGCATATTTCAAGTGGGCGCCTTTTGCAAGCACGACTTCATTCTTTCTTTTTGTATTTTTATATTCCTCAGCGGAGAATGTGTCTTTGTGTTTGGCCGTTATTATTTTATTATGGTGAGAGAGCCCTATTATATTATTTCGCGCGCACACCGACTCTGTTATTATGTGATTTCAGCAACACATAATAATGACAATTTTTGTGCCTCGCGGCGCACCAGGCATTGGGAAACGCGAGGGATAAGAATAAATTCTTTCGCGGATGTTTTGCATAAGAACTTTGCATCGGCTGCGCGGAAATCTCTCGATTCGATTATCTGCTTGCATTGTTTGAAGGAAAGGTGAAACATGTATATATGCATACGCTCAAGTGTTTTGTAAGAATTGTAAACACCAGCATTGAGAATAATAAATATGCTGACTTGCTGAGATCGATGTTTATAATGTATATTGCAAGTTTATTGATCTTAGATCTTTTCCCTACTGGGAAGGTGACTTAATTCTACAATAATTAAATCAATCACATTTATTTTTTCACTATCTAGAGGGTTTAGAGGGATTATATTGTAATTTTAATCAATTTTTATCCAATTTCTTTTCAATTGAATCACAAATTGTAATTGTTCATTCATCGAAAAATGCAATATTCAATATTTTAAATGAAAATTATAAGTCAGTAGAAAATTTAATTTTCAATCAATTTGATTAAAGAAATCGGTACAAGAAAAACTACAAATTCGCGTTTTCAACTTCATCATTAGCCATTTTATTTTCTTAATTTTGGCTATCTCTGTTACTTCCTTAATTTAACGCTTTGATTATTCTGTTCTTGATGATCAAATATAGCTGTATTTTCGCATTGCATGCTTTGTTTTTCTTTCTACGTTGTTCAAAAATTAGTTCTTTTGATCAATGGCAATGAAACTAAGTAAGATTAATGATCAACCCAAACAAATGGTTATAAAATGCAAAATAATATCATAAATCGAGAAAAAAAACTTATAATTACTAATTTGTAAAGCCTTGTCTACCATAAAATTTCCTCAAGCGGAGATCCTAAATTTTTTGCACGAATGAATTAATTAATCTCGCAGACGGACGCAGCTTTATATCATAAAGTAAGAATAAATCTTTTAAAAAAAAAGTAAAAATAAAAGTTGCTCACTTGGCTCACTTCCTTTCTGCAAAAATGATAAGATGAATTCTGCACGCTTCTCGAGCGCTCAGCACTTTTGACTCTTTTTATTTTCCCTTTCTGTATAAAAAAAACCTGGTATAAGAGTAAATACAAAATAATCATCTCGTGACTTATCCTTGGTTCAGCTCGCACAAAACAAAAGCTTTTTAATTCGGTGTCGAGGCTACTTATTATTTGAGACAATATCTCGGGTGTCGAGAAATTTTGATCACTAGTGAAAGTGTGTTCGTGCGCGCAAATATTGTTTTATAATTTATTATTAATTCGGCCGTGCGCGATGACAACACCCATTGTGGCCGTGAGTGAGCAGAATTGCTAATAATAACGATGGAAAAGTTTCATCTTGACGTGTGTGCGGATTAACTTCTTCATTCAGCCGAGACTGTCTAATTAGATGAAAACGATCTCCTCTTTTAAATGGGTCGAGCGCGAATGCGTCGGAAAATGAAACTCATCGCATAACCCCGAGCGGATTTGATGATAAACTCTCTCGCATCTTCGTTTTCCATCTTCGGCACACATGCGATGAGAAGCGAGTGAGGCAATATTCGAAAACGAGAGTCGTCCCCGAGAAAGGATAATATTGTTATTATTGCAAGTATTGGAAGAAGAGAGACATTGACCTCATTTGGAATTGTACACCCATTAATTTGTGCAGAAGAGACTCTCACACACACACTCTTGGAGGCTCACCTTGAATGGCTTTTTTGTTTTTTCGCTGTTGAGAGATGATCTAACAAAAAAGCTAATTAAGCGCGGGTGCTCGGCTCGTGAGTTTTGTGGGCGAAAACCTCAAATTACACGCGTAGATCTGCCCTGGTCGCGAGTTAGATGATAATTCCCGCCAGATTAGCACGCGTCTGGTGTTGTTGTTTTGTTGCACCACACAACAAAGCCGCTAATTTTCTCGCGAGAAAAAGGTCACGTGCCCGTTGTCATCCCGCGAGAGATTAATTCGTGTTTAATTTACGGCTCCATGCATACCTTGCGAAACTTTGTTTGCTCGATTAAAAGCATAATTTCACGCCTCGATTTTTACCTCCAGTATATATGTCAAAATAATTTCAATTAGTTCGTTGCGTACAAGAGTGAAGTGATTTCAATTTCGTCAAATTGTGCGGTTTTGCGCTCGAGAAATTACCTGCTCGCGGCAGATAACTAGCAAAGCTCTGCTCAAGGAGTAATGCATTTCTAAATTAACAAGAAATGACCAGCACTATATATTGAAAAATAAACATGATTGAATCACCTCAAGACATAACACGTAATCAGGACATTAATTTTTAGATCCTTTTGTCAATAACTGCAAAAAAATCTAAATAAATGCTTGTATTAGAGAAATGATCTACTTTTAAGACATCAACCTCTCGGATATCTATTTCAAAATTATTGATAGGAAATAAGAAATAAGTAAGCCACATGCATCAATTATAATTTAGATACCAACTTTCATCGGTTATATAAAAATTTTAATTGGTTGGTAACATAATTTTGAATAACAAACCTATAGATTAGTGGAAGATATAAAATCTACTATCTTAATTTGTACACGAAAATAAAATGGTTCATAATTTAATTCCCAGGCAAGACCACATAGATACTGGAAATCTTTTAACGAGCTATTAGTTTTATGACCGCAGTCCCGCAGATGTGGGTTTAGCACCGAAACGCGTTAGCAGCGAATCTCTCCGAAAAACCAAACATTTTAATAGCGAGAAGATATCTTCACGCGTTGGCAATATAATTGAAAAGGAAAATTATAAAAAAAAAAAAGGAAATTTTCACCAGAATTATTCACAGTGATCCTCTTAACGAAAAGTATTTAGTACTTCTTCGCGTGCTAATGAATTAACAGGTTGAAAGAAAATGAGCAGCCGGGTATTTTATTTCTCGCCGTCCGTTGCATTCCTCAAAATTAGAAACTGGCTCGCCACCGCCGCCGCACGGTGTTAATTTCACATCCTCCTGCTCGATCTGAGATGTATAAAAAATCTAAATTGTGGCGATAAAGTGTGTATGTACTGTGGATACGCGAGAGCTGGCGGGTTGCTCGAATGTCCCCTTCACCGGCGCAGCATCAAACTCGGCGCTTTACGTTGTTTTCTACCTGCCTGAGTGTAACTAATACACAATGAATGATTTCTCTTTGTTGCAGAACATATTGGACAAATTCAATCCGGGTGCTCGGCAGCTGATCAACGCCGGCAAGGCCTACCTCAAAGCGCTGCATGGTAATTATTTAAACATTTTATCGCTTTATTAGCCCGCTAATTAACTGTTGAGAGGGAATTGGGGCACGCTCTGGCGCGCAATTGATCAGTTTCCAGTTTTTATTGACTGAACCGTTTTTTATTCAACAAAGAAAAATTATATATAGTGAAGTGTGTCTCTTCCGCCATTCTTCAATGTGACAGGCGCAGATAATCCATTTTCAGCGCAGATGGCGCCTTCTGCTTTTTCTTCATTGTTTCCACACAATTTGTTATTACTCTTCAAAGCTTTTTCTGGTTGACGAAAGATTTTAACTGGATCGGCCAAAGCCCTCAGAAAATTTCTACACTGACAACAAAATTTCAAAATATCACTACATAAAAGAAAAAGCTGGTTTTACTCTCTTTATTTAAGATAAATTTATTAAGGAATGAAATGATTTAGTTTTATAAAACAAGAAATTTCTATTTTTTCCGTCTGCTCATGTCATTTTTTAAGTTATTGGTCTCCTTTCTAATCGGTGTCTAGTCGCCATTTGGCGGTCACTCACGACAACTACATATATTTCATTTCGATTCAATTAAAAGCAACGTGTTAGGTTTTTAAAACGTTTTTGATGTCCTTTCAGTGTCATTAAAAACGTCCTTTGGTCTAAACGCTATATAAATTTTTATATTTTACAAACACTAAACGGAATGTGGGTCACACTCGAGCGACAATAGACAATTCCGAGAGACGCTTATAACGTGCCATAAAACTGTTGTAACGAGAGTATTGAAAGTAGCTTGTAATTAACCAGAGCATTTCAAACTTTGGTTCTTTTGTTAGCTTATTATTCTAAAAAATAAAATAAAAAGTGATTGGTGGCCCCGTCAATTTAGTAAAATCAGGGTCTATTGAAAAAACATTATTTTTTAATTTTATAATTTTGACCCTTCATTACAACCAGGAAATTCCCTGATCTTTTGCGAAAAGGTTCAAGAATTTGCAAAGAATAAAAAAAGGCATTTGGGACGCGTGCTGATTTTGGCCTTCCAATTTTGCACGGTGTAATTATTTGAGGATCAGCAATTCGCGGCTCAATGCCACACGTCTTCCAAGAGGAACTTCTTGTCCATGTGAAATTTCTAATAACTCATGTCTAAAGAGATAATAATAAAATTGGTGGTTGAAGCTGGATTTTAGAAATCTTATGCAACCCCCGGGACACCAAAGTTTACCCGGTTGCGTTTTTTCTTCAAGGGGCTGTGGGCTGTGTTAAATTGTTACTTTACATCACATATGAGATACAGATGTTTTTTTCCAGCAAATTACAATAAACATCTGTGAAATACAAAATTGAATTTAAAGAAGATCAAGATTTTATATGGAAATCAAACTAAGTGAAATTTAATTAGTATTAAAACCCAGATAAATTCAAAATGCGGATATAAAATTTAGCTTTCTTGAACACCTCTTAATTAATAGGTCCGTATCTAAATTGAGATGGTGATTAAATGCAAGCAGAATTGGTGCCTTCAGGCGATTTAGATAAATCGCCATTCGGAAGTGGCAACTCATTGTGCGAGACAAAGGAACGAGAGGCGCCTTTCAAGCAAAGAGCCTTGAATCGCGCGCCTGTCGCTTTATTTTTCAATGCGGAATCAGAACGAGTGCACGAACGAAGCGATCGCCAATAATGCCCAGCTCACTCAGGTACAAACAAACTAAATGAATTCCTGTGTGTTGCCAAAACAGGTTCCGCAGCTGCAGCACGATTGTACATTGACGCGATTGCCAAATTAGCTCAACAGGCTCAGCAGAGTGCATGGCACGGATCGTCAGATGTTGGTGAGTGGAATCGCAAATAGTTTTTTTTTAATTCCAGCAGAGGTGCGGTTGGTTGTTTTCTCTCAGCGCCGAATATTGCAACTCGAGTACAGAACAAATTCTTTTCACTCCCACGAATAAAGTGCTTTTGACCTTCTGGCCACTTGGCATTCTCTTGTATTTTTAGCAGCCGGCAGCGCAGAAGAAGATTTATTACCCCGCGAAAGATAAAAAATCTTTTCTATTATAAGTACTTGACGGGTTATTTAAAGAAAAGAGAGCCTATTAGCTATCTTAACTTGAAACTACTGCCGCTTCTTCCACACGTCACACTCGCTCTTCAGTAATTTATTTTTCGTTCCCGAACAACACATTTGTGTTTTCACTCGGCTGCAGAAAATTGGAAGCCGTGCAGCTGCAATTGGGTCACTCATCCAATTTGCCCTGCTTCTGCTTTCGAGTGTGTAATCTTTTTTCCTCCCCTATATACCCTGCGTTTTGCATTTGTATCCAAAGCCCTTTCAAATAAAAATTAAGCGCGAAAGTATTTGTGTCCGGGTACGTTTACGACGACTCATGCATGCCAAAACAATATTGGTAAGGCGCGGGTGTTCTTTCTTTCTTATGCACAAGATCAAGTTTCACAATGCTCGAATATACTCACAGGGATTATTCAAATTATTGTCAATGGGCGTTTTGTATCTTTCGCAATAACAATTTCACTTTTGAGCAACAATGCGTGCGTCGAAATTGGAAAACTCCAAAAGTGATCAACCGGCCATCCACGCATTGATCATAACTTATCATGAACAACCGCCGCAATTTTAGAAACCTCACCACATGTAAATTCAAAATTTTTTTAAATTTTATTTAGCAATAAAATCATTATAAAGATTTTGCAAGTCAGTATCTACTTATTTGAAACAAAAAAATTATTACATAATTTCATATTATTTAAAATTTTGTAACATTTTAATGAATTATTTGTAATTATTTTATGAAAATTAATTTTTTAATTTTGTATTTTATAAAATGTTAAAACATCAATCAACGTTCTCTAATTGAAAATAAAAATAATGAGATTGCAATTTTGAATTTAAAAAAAAAAACAACAATTAAAAGATGCATTGAAAGTATAAAAATGGCAGCGATTTTCAATTTACAAGCCCATAGAGCACGTCACGCGAATATATTAGTATTGAAATCAGATAATGAATAATGGAGGCGCTTATTATGTCTGTTCAGACCGTCTATTGTGCCCTTCCTTAGCATTTGCCACCGCACTCTATTGCTGAGATGAATAATTTAACAATAATAATGGACAAACACGACTTTCCAATTTGCACGCAGGAACATCCTTGATGCAGATCGCGGAGGTGTACCAGGAAATCCACGCTCAGCAGATGAATGTCGTAAGTTAATTCGAAAAGAACAAAAAACTTACAGGTGTAGAGCAGTGATTTTGAATGCGTCGCTCCGACCATTCAAAATCATGAATGATGATAACTGTAAAGAAATCATGCAAACGCTTCTGCTGCTCTAGAAGCAGTCGCGTGTGACGGTTAACGAGATTGGTCCGCATTAGGCGGAAGCACACGTTACTATGTGTTAAATATAATAAATACACGTGCACGTTTACTCCACTGCAACGCGTAGTGAGAAAATATAAAAATAAATCGAAGGTATTTAGAGCGAGCGACACGCATTTCGAAACATTTAAAAGTATTTCACGGGAGTGCCGCAGCTTATTTATTTATTTATTGGCCTATCAATACAAACACGTTAATGAATTTTCCAGCTGAAAGCCTTTTACGTTGACCTGATCGTGCCGTTGGAGAACAACCTCGAGAAGGACATAAAAATTGTGCAGGTCAATAGTTCGCTTCCTTTATATTCCATCTCTACATACCTTTTACTTTTTAATTTCAATTCTAATTTTTAAATAGTCGGAGCAAAAGAAATTTTGCAACCAACACAAGAATCGGCATGAGACGTACTCGAAAGCGGCCAACACCATGAAGAAGCATCGCAAGAAGAACAAGAGCAAGGGCACGGCCATCTCGAAGGAACTCAGGGTAAGGATTCGCCAGGTTGATTTCAGTAATCGATTAAACTAAAATACTGCAGGACATGCAGGCATTTGAGGAGGAGAAAACCAAGCTGGACGGACTTTGCGAGAAAGGACTCAAGAATGTGAGTAGCTTTTTAATTATTGGTTATTATTATTTTTGGTATATTTTTTTTAATAACCAAGTGGAGAATAACCTTGAAATCTGGTGTACAACGCCAAAAAGGCGTGTCGGCAATTCAAATCTATTATTATCTTGTTTCACTTTTCCTGAAGTGGACCACCTTGCAATCATCGATAATATACGCTAATTTACAAGCCACAAAATCTGAGAAAATCTTTTGTATTTTTTATTGGCCCCATTTAAAATTTTAAGGTGTTCCGGTCATTAAAAGTACAGCTATGAATTTTTTCTATAATTGTGTAAAATTGTAATTTAATTTTTCACTTGAACTGAAATTAATTCAATTTTTCCCTCCATTTGACATTTAATGAAAAAAAATCTTTCCAATTTGTTAATTTTTAGTCCCACAACGGTGCGTCTTTTTTTTTGTGAAATTTGATCAATTTTTTTATAATCGTAGGCAATAACTCAAGAACGGCGACGATACGGATTTGTTTTGGAACGGCAGTGCATTTTGGCTAAACACGTACTATCCTATCACTCTCTTGGAAGTGCCGCTATGCAGCGGCACATGGACGACTGGCGCGACGTTGCTCGGAACAGGGAAGTTCTGCCTGACACTGTGGAATTGGCTTTTGCAAATAAAATGCAGGTTAGTAACATTAATTAAAAAAATTTGTTACCATATTATTAATTTTAACATTTATTAAATCTAACATTTCTAGAATTTTTAATTTTATTATGTTTAAACATTTTATGGGTGCGTCCAGGAAAGATTTGAGGGTAAATGTTAAAAATTTTTCTTGAAAACATGCCATTCCAATTTTCAAGTATGTTGTTGGGGTGGTCAAGAGGCCTCGCTCACCAAATTTTCAAGTCAAAATAAGGGGTGCTTTTCCGGGAAATCAGATTTTTCCAAAAACAAAAAATATGGAATATCTTTGCTCCTATTGAGAAATTATTAATGATCTTTTCACTTCCAGACGTAACTTTTTACGCCCGACAACTTTTATGTTGATAACTTTTGCGTAGGTCAAAGGTCAAGGTCACTAAATTGCAAATTTCACTTTCTGACGCAATTTTCGCAAAGAAGCACCCCTCAGAAATTTTTCGCAGTATAGGAAAAAATGTAGCCCCAAGTGTGTAGAACAACATCCTTGATTTCCAGAATGGCATTATTTTTAGTTTTTTAATTAATTTTAAATGAATATTAAAAAACAATGAAAAATCGCTTTTCCGCAATAGAAAGTAATTTTCAAACAGCGATAACTCATTTTCTGTTAGAGATACGCAAAAATGTTATAGAACAAAAAGGATTTGTTTTGACTTTTTGCATCCAGCCATGTATTGTTTATACAGGTCAGGTCACTTGGGGTCATTGACCTCGGTGACCTGTGACCTTAAAGAGCAGTTTACTGAATATTTGGCACATAGTTAAGAAGAACTATTTTATGGAATGGTTTTAATAAGCTCATTTCCTACAAATTATTTTTAGAGGTCACAGGTCACCGAGGTCAATGACCCCAAGTGACCTGACCTGTATAAACAATACATGGCTGGATGCAAAAAGTCAAAACAAATCCTTTTTGTTCTATAACATTTTTGCGTATCTCTAACAGAAAATGAGTTATCGCTGTTTGAAAATTACTTTCTATTGCGGAAAAGCGATTTTTCATTGTTTTTTAATATTCATTTAAAATTAATTAAAAAACTAAAAATAATGCCATTCTGGAAATCAAGGATGTTGTTCTACACACTTGGGGCTACATTTTTTCCTATACTGCGAAAAATTTCTGAGGGGTGCTTCTTTGCGAAAATTGCGTCAGAAAGTGAAATTTGCAATTTAGTGACCTTGACCTTTGACCTACGCAAAAGTTATCAACATAAAAGTTGTCGGGCGTAAAAAGTTACGTCTGGAAGTGAAAAGATCATTAATAATTTCTCAATAGGAGCAAAGATATTCCATATTTTTTGTTTTTGGAAAAATCTGATTTCCCGGAAAAGCACCCCTTATTTTGACTTGAAAATTTGGTGAGCGAGGCCTCTTGACCACCCCAACAACATACTTGAAAATTGGAATGGCATGTTTTCAAGAAAAATTTTTAACATTTACCCTCAAATCTTTCCTGGACGCACCCTTATTATAATTGAGTTTTTGTAATTTTCTGATAGTATTTTACTGTAAAGCACTGCTGACTCTTCTTTTTATTCTACCATTTTAAAGCAAAAAAATAAAATAAAAAAAGTTAAATTCATTAAAATTGAGCTAGTTGACAAAAATATTAATCCATTTCATTAAATTTAAATACATTTGTGATTTTATGAAAGTTGTATCACAATTCTTGCAATATAAATGATGATTTTACAAATAAATTATAAACAAATTTTGGCAGCAACTGTCTTACTGGCCGGATAAAGACATTTATTCGCAACCACGCACGTCCATCTCAACCGAGGACTTGGACGATAGTTGCTCAGTGGTGTCGCAGTTGCATAAGGCCAAGAGCCTGGACGCGCACTGCTTCGAGAAGGGTGGCTCCGGCGGTGACTCGGGCTACTCGGTGTCGCACACCAAGCAACTGCCACGTACAAAGTCCGACTTCAACTTGACGAGCAACCACTCATCTATAGTGCAAGGCAATTATACCAAATTCACTTTCTTTTAATTTTGCTGCTATCACCGGTGAAATTTTTAGAACTGGAGCAGTACAAGAAAGGCCACCGCTCAAAGTCGATCGCCGCCGGCGACGACGGAAGCGCTTCGCGAAACAAGAGAAACAACGAGAAATTCTGCAGACTGGCCCGTGCCCTGTACGCGTACATCTCGAGCGGCGAAAACCAGCTCAGCTTCCTCGAGGGCGATGTCATAGCCCTGATGGGTAAATTGCACTTGATCTTGAAATTTGTTTAGAGAGCACAGATTTAATTAATCGTTGGCCCGTCCGCAGGCGAGAGAAACAAAGGTTGGCAGTTTGGTGAAAACATGAGAACTCAGCGCAGCGGTTGGTTCCCCTTGGCGTACACAGAACTGATGGTTTCACAGAATGATTCGGATGACAGGTGAGATTAGAAATTAACACTAATCTATTTATTTTCTAATTAATTTTTTTGGTTAGAGTACGATTGATAACAAAAATATCTCATAACTTATTGACAATAATTTATTTTGTTAAAATCAATTTAAAGAGATCAAATTGATTTTATAATATAAATATTTATTATTTTAAAAGGGTTGCACAAAAATTTTTTTTCGTACTGCAGTGCTTATAATTTTTATGTACTCACTATACTTTTAAATTTCTATTACAATTAATATAAATATGAATTTTGTTTGCAGCTCTCCCTCTCAGCGTCACATCAATCTGCAGAAGTCCGACACACCAAACTCGGGAAATTCTGGAAACTCTGACTTTAGCTTCCGTTCAGCGGGTAATTTGGAAGCTATAAATGGTGCTTTGTCGTTGCCAAACCTCAAGCATGCTCCCAGCTTTAAAAAGGTATTGTAGGCTAGGAAGTACAAAATGCCTCTTTTAACATCAACATTAAAAACAAATATATAAAACAAAAACCTTCTGGAATCAACATAAGGTTTGACTGTTTAGTTTTAAAACTATGTGTAAAATAATTTGCTTAATTTGAAACAACTTAAAATTTTTATGCTTTTTGCTTAATTTGTATATTATTTCAATTTTTGTTGTAAGAAAGGTAGATGTGAAAAATATAATTCTGCTACTTTGAAGGGGTACTAAACACATGTTTTAAGCTATAGAATGCTATATAATTCTAAATTATTTGCCAAATATTGTAAAATTTGGAAATAATTATCTTTACAAATTAAACTATATCACTTTTTTTATTTCAGACTCTCCATCAGGAAGCAGCAGTTTCTTTTAACTCATCTAACATGCACCTAAACCTTCCTCCTGTTCCCACCAACTCTGCACCCAGGCCCAACAAAACCATCCAAAAGCCAACCCTACAGATCCTGACGCCCAGCTGGTCGACGGACGAGAAGAAAAGTCCATCCATCGACAACTCGAGCAGCATGTACAGCAGCAGTGACAGCGGTTTCATCATGGAGCCCCCAGCTCTTCCCGAAGTTGATTACGAAGACAACAACAATATACCGTAATGCTTTTTAAATTAGATTGATCAAGTTTTAATTAAAAATTTTAATATTTTACTTGCGAGTCATGAATTTTTTACTCATTTTGACACAATTAATTTTTATTCAATATGATTGATTAAATTTTAACTTTCAGGTTGATCAAAAACAGCTTCTCTGCAATGCAAACAATGCCGATGCCAAGCCCAGTGAAGACGTTTGCCGAGTGCGACAAACGCAATTGGCTGCTGTACAAGTCGGCCCTGGAGTTGTGGGACGACGTCGAAAAGAACAACAATGATCCTGAGTTGGTCGACTACTATGCCTCCTTGTCAAAGATTCCACAGGTGCGAGCAACCAACGCTCCAGTTAAGAGGTCAAAAACACTCTGGGGCCTGAAATTCAAACCTAAGAGTGGGTTTCTGACCGGCGGGAGGAAAAACGCATGGCAGAGCTCGTCATCCTCCGAGTTGGATCTTTCCTCCAAAAACAACGTCAGCAAAACTCTGCAGAGACCCAGGGAGCCGCCTCCACTTCCACCCCTGCCTCCCCCCAGAAGGGAACTGCCTCCTTTTCCCAACAGGATCGCCTCATAAAATGATGGCTTTGCCCGTTTTAAGCGGTTTCGTATGATTAAATTGAGTGAATGTGTCGAGTATTAAATTTATTATATATAATCACATTGATACATATATGTTGCACTAATAGAAAAAATAAATCATCAACCACATTTAGCCAAGATATAATTGTACCGTGAAGGAACTTGTCGTATTTAAATTTTTTGGGCCTTTGGGTTGCCTTTTTTGTCCGATGCCATTTCTCTTTTGTATAATTTAACAAAATAAAATTGTGCTCTAGCTTGATATTTAATAAATTTTATTATTACTGAATAAAAATTGCTTGTTACTGTTTGAATAATTGAAAAACGACCTGTTAGGGCTTGTAAATGGAATTTATTCAAAAAATAAAAATAGTTCAACAAAAATGCATGTGACGCAAGTTTCAACTTCAGGCGCGGTGTATTAAAAAAGTCTGTTGCGGTGTGGAATTTTTCTCCCAAGTAAAGGGCTTGCCTGACTAAACATTAAGACATACCTCAATTCATTTTAATTTTAAACACTATTATAACTTGGTTTTATTGAACGAATTATTGAGTGCAATTTTTCACATAAAATTGACAAAAAAAAATAACTTGATAAAAAAAAAAATGATTTCCGAATTCGATCAAATTGCCTGGTTTTCCTAAAAACTAATCAATTGCTTTATTTTTTTCTTTAATTAAAATGGTGGTTCCATGCTTAAGTTTTTCAATACAGAGTCTCCTTCAATATTTTCAGTTCAGCACCTCCTTGAGGGAAAACGTCAAAGCACAAGCAGCAGCCCGTCAAAGCTATACTAGTTGTTGTAAAGACTGATTGATATTTGGGCTGCCGACGATTAAGATTACATGACAGCAAAGATATTATTTAAACTCCCACGCTGTCGCATCCGTTCTCATTTTTTTCTATTCACAAACCAGCTTTGCCGGAAAATGCGTGTAAATTAAAGGTAATTGTAAAAACTAACAAAGAGAACGCTATTAGGAGTGGACTGACTGACTCAGAGTAATTGTTTTAAGCAAAACCGCGACTTCAAAAATATGAGGAAATTTAACGAGTTAAGATCCTTTTCATATATCACCTGCTTCAATTAGGCCAGAGTGGGCCAACAGCACAAAAACAAACAACTAAAGTTGCTTGCCATCTACTTATCCAAGTGTGCACCCGCAGCTTCGTCTACGATCCAGAGGCAAGTGCCCTCAGGCTGCACCCTGCCTGCAGGCAGATTCTCTTTGTCCACCAATATCCTCTGAAAATAATAAAAATCCAGAATTATTACAAGTAAATTTCACAGAATTATTAATTAAAAAATAATTGACAAAATTGATAGTTGAATTGTTAATTTTATGTAGCTCAAGTTGGCATAAAAATTTATAAATTCGTTGCATTCTTTTAAAAATGATTAAACAAAAAATAATGATTTTTTTTATTGATTTTTTTGTATAATATTTTCTTCTTCTTTTTTTCATAATACTTTTGGATAATTGCAAATCAGTAGTCAATAATATTTTTGTTTGCTTGCAAAATTATCTTATCACTAACCTTCACATCTGACTTTAACTAACAAAACATAAACATTACAAATTATTTATATTATATTTGGAACATTTCTATCCCTACAATTGTAACAATAAAGCTTGGGCACTGACCTTGACCATTTCGGCTTTCCCGGCTCCGGCCATGGCAAAGACGCAGCACTCGGCGTTGTTCAGCACAGGGAAGGTGAGGGTGATGCGAGCTGGGGGTGGTTTCGGCGAGTTGGTAATCGGAGCAACCCACACTGAGGTTTCCTCCAGTAGACTGTGATCTGGGAAGAGGGAGCATGTGTGGCCGTCCGGACCGACGCCGAGCAGCAGAATGTGGAACTTGGGCAAGCAGTCTGGTGGGAAGTGCACAGCCATTTTTTGGATGTAGTCTTTGGCTGCGGCCTCAGCTGACCACAAATAAATTTCGTTATTTTAAAAACTTTTTTATTTAATTAGAAAGGTGAGTTTTTGATAGGAAAATTTCCAAAACTTATTTAAATACTGAACAAAATGGTGATTATATTTTTAATTGTTAAACAAAAATTTTACCTGTAAGGTCAGTGTTGACAGATATAAACTGGTCCTCAGTAATGGGCACCTTGCCAATGAGCGCCGCTTTGTAGGCACCAAATGTCGAGTCAGAACTCTCCTCGGGCACGATGCGTTCATCACAGAAGAAGAGGCGCCACTTGGACCAGTCAGTGGTCAGGCCAGGCAGGCCCTTCTCCAGGAACTTGATCATAGAGCCGCCTATGATGAGAAAAATTAGCAAACTTTTTTTTCTCAACATTAAATTTCTACCGGACAGTCCAATTTTGAACAGTTCTTCACTCTCGATGGCCTTGTTGGCTGCCTCTTCAATGACCGATGCCAGCTTGGTGACCAACTCGGACTCATCTTTTACGATGACCACGGTAGGAGTTTCACTGCTCATTTTCTTTGCTTATTTTTTTATTTAATAATGCCAAGAGTGGAAATGCACTAGATATCACAGAGAGAAATGCTGAAAAAAGAACAATATATTAATCATTTTAGTTATATCAAATGACAATAAAACTAAGATTTCAGATTTTTATTTTTCATTGACACGCACACTAGAGTGACTCATCAACACACATACATAATTAATTAATTCTGACACGCTCTTGTGCACATAAAAAATAGAAATAAAAAATTACCTCAATTATCTGAACAGGTTTTCAATTAATATAAAAACCTGCACGGAAGGAGCACTGCTTCTTCAAAGGTATGTATGTATATGATATATGTAAGCGCAGAGTGGGTTGCAGGTGTTGTTGCGGATGGTGATTTACATCTATGTACCGAAGGCAGCACTAGAAAACGGAACTCACGGTGCACACAACGCCGACGATGTCCTCTGCAAGTCGAGAGAATCGATTTAGAGGTCAAAAAAGCTGCGATGCGTCGCGACTTCGGTGTCGCGACCGCCGGCAAATTTAGCACTTTGCGGCAAACCACAGATAACTCACCAAAGCAGGCAATTATCCGACGAAATCACTTAATTAGTCATGTGTCGACAACTCCCTGCTGCTCTCGTCCAGTTTCCAATTCCACTTAAAAAAGAGCTGTCGCCTCACCTGACTCCACCTAAATGGGGGCGTAACCATGGTAACTGAGGGGGCGTGGTTCACGTAAGAAAATAAACAAAACAAGTCATCTCGTTTGACTCGTTTCGATTTTCAAAGCTTTTTAAATAGGACCGGCCGGCAAATTTTAATTTAGAATTCCAAGAAACCACAGGTATCATTATTTATTTTTATGCTCAATGCTACAAGATTACTTTAAAATCTTTGTTCTTGTACATCTAGAACGTTATGGCTGTAGACGTGATGAATCTTTTGAGCATGCACACCTTTTCGGATGAGCTCACCTCCATTGCTGTCTCCTTTCAAGTTTTGAAACTGAAAAACAGCGTCTTTTTGTGGATCGGCAGTAGTGATGAAAAGTGCTTCAATGACCTCAACTTGGCCATGGTTGTACCACCAGCCGAAATAACTTCTGCGAGGCTCATGGGCAACCTTTTGACTCCCTCCTCAGTGTTGACAAAGAGACTTTGCAAGAAGCTCAACAAGCCAATTTACTTGAGCTATAATCTGCCCCAGAACGATAACATGCTCCTTGAAGTTGTTAACAAGAGGCTGAATAAGGAAATTGAAAGTTATCCTGATAAGTTTTAAGAAAATGACATATTTTAGGTTACATGGGTTACATATTGAATAATAGTTTCATTATAAATTCAATTATTGACTTTGCATACAATTTGTATTTTATTTAATACATTCTTAAACTTTAGCATAGTTACATAGGTGGAGTGCATAGGTTAATAGGTGTGTACAAAATGTACATTTTCTTATATTCCGCTGTAGGGAGACGCAAAGTAAACTTAAAGAAAAAGTTATTTGCAAATGAAAGGGAGATCTAGAAGACTAATGAAGAGTGATCTAGATATAGGATAAATTAGGAGATATAAGGATAAGATAAAATTCTAGCGTTGCTTTTCTTTAGACCATCTATAAAAATCCAATTTCAAAAATATGTTGAATAACTCTGATGATACGATTAGATGAGTTGGTAAAAAATTTGGACATTATGAAGAACACGGATTGAAATGCCGGTGGCTGGTAGTTGAAATTGCAAGTATAAACATTTGTTGTTAGTTCCGAATATCACAGGAGACTCAAAAAATTGACAAACGAAAACAACTTTTTTTATGATATGAACAAAAAACATTGAAAATACTTTTCCATGAACTGTCCACCTTGATCATGTTTATCTTATTACCCACTTAAAAGATGATTTTTTTTTTGTTTCTTCAATATTCTCTTTTGCTGGGAGGCACCAAGTGAGCTGGCAGCTCTGTAGGCAAATCGTGGCCGTCCAGCTTGACGTTGATCAGGTGCATGGCCAGAGCAAACTCATCAGGATCCATCATACCATCCTTATCTACATCGGCCAACTTCCAGATTTTTCCCAGAACTGTGTTGGGCAATTTTGATTTTATCATCTCTGACTTTGCAGCTGAAAAGATTACAATAAATTACTGTTTAATATTAAAAAAATGTTTTTGAAAACAAACCTGCGCCCGTAATTTTTCCATCGACGGGCCCCAACGTATCAAAAACAGAGTCCGTTTTGAATCGAAGCTTTGCCGCAACCCACTCATGATCTCCGGCGCCTTCATCAATACCTTCACCCTTCTTGTAGCCAAAAGGACTTTCTGTGTCTTCTACATTGTGGAAGGCACCTCCTGCACAACAAAGCATATTATTTGTCTAAGGTTACGTCTATATCATGTCCAAATTTAAGATTGAGTCAAGTTTACGACCAGGTTTTACAAATTACTTTTAAGTAGCAAATTTGATTTAATATTATGGGAATACCACTAAATATTAGTCCGATTGAGTTACAACCACTAAATTTGCAGCTTTTCAGAAACATACCTCTAACTACAGGTTCGATTGGGTTCTCAGCCTCTTCTTTGGTAATAAGGCCCATCAATGGAGCGATATCTTGCGCCAGCATTTTGTCAACCGCATCTATCAAGGCTGGCCTCATAGAGTGGAACTTGGTAAAGTCTTGGTTTTGCAGCATGTCCTAAAATGAATTTTTCATTTAACAAGTTTGTTGTAACACATTCCAGTGTTGAAAACACACCTGCATTTTCTTCAAATCAGGGAGGTCTCCTCTAGAAATGCTATACTGCTTTTGAATTGTCTCATAAACATTGCCAAGATTTTTGATCAGCTCCTTCTTCTTGCCATCCTTGCCAAACATGCTAGGCATGTCGCTCTTCAGTTGAGAAATAATAAAGGCGTGAACCTGGAAAACCCATGTAAAAAACAATAGATAAATTGGGAAACACCAGCAAGATATCTTATCCAAAATAGCGCTGTATACGCAACTAAAGAAAAATATGCTTGTCACTTCCTTTTTAAATATTATAGAATTTAAAAACGATCGACTTTTAAAAATAACCTTTGCAAGTCTTGCTCGCTTGATGAGGTCGTTGAGCTTCCTGAGGGCTGCATTTTTAGGCAGTGATGTCAAGTCTTTAAACAAGTCCTGCTCCTCATCTTCAAATAACCTTCTATTGACATCATATCGTAGAGGTTGATCCCAAAAGGAGCCAATGTAAACTCGGGCCACTTCAGGAGTGTTCAGGACTTTTCCAAGGCTCCACATGAGGGCACCGTAGACCCGCATCAGTTGCTGGTGGTCGACCATGTCAGCCTTGTTGAGCACAATCCGGATTTTGTCGTCGTGCCCTCTTAGTGCTTCGATGCTGCGACGAAATTCGTCCGAGATGTCCAATTTGTGTGCATCAAAAAGAAGAATGATTCGGTCCACCCTCTCAGCAAACCACTCGAGGACACCAGTGAAATCATAACTAAAAACACGATTAAAATTTTATTTATAAAAAAATCGCACTATTTCTCACCCTCTATCAGTTCGTTGCTTTTCTCCAGAGAGAATGCCTGGTGTGTCGACAATGGAGATTCCTCTCAAAACAGCACTGTCCAACTGGGAACACTGGAACCTGTTGAGGAAAGCGTTTCCAAATTTGCTGAGGGGACGGAACTGCTTTTTAGGATCAACAACAAGCGCATTTCCAGGAATGACGCCTGAGTTGTCACCTGAAACAGACATAATTTAATTTAATTAAAAATTCAAATCCCAAATATAACAAAATATTTTGCTGTATAAAAATAATATATAGAAATAGTTACCATGCATAACGGCAATAAAACTATCCGTGGTTGGCTCCGGACCAATCCGAATGCCAGGAAAATCACTCTCGAGCAGATACTTGATGAAGGTGGTTTTGCCCGTCGAGTACTGCCCAACGAGCAGGATCATGGGCTTGGCATCAAAGTCAGGGTCGTCAAGCTTGGGCGAGTGGAACTCATGGAACTGGTAGTAGCTCTCAAGGGGCAGCAGCTTTTGTTTGTAGATCTGCTTGAGACCCTCAACCACCGTCTCATAGACATCAGTCGTTTTACTTTTGTCATTCTTCAGGAAGCTGAACATGGCTTCTGGAGGCTCTGTGAAGATAAAAATAACAATTAACGCAATTAACCAAATTGGCAAAAATTTAAAATTTTTATAATGAAACATAGAAATTCTTTAAATAAAATATTAAGTTTTTTCAAGGCAAAACTTAATTGATTTAGGGCTTGCTAAATTTGTCTTGGTTAATAAAATTGCTCATTATTATCACGCCCACGTTTACATTGAAATTCATGGGCAAATTGCGGACACAAAGAAATTGTAAGTGATCTCAATTAGAGTCTTGCTGGCGACATAAGTGGGCGTATCCGCCAGGCTTAGATGTTTAATTTTCTTGATTCTTGAATTATCATTATAAATGAAATATGGTGTAAGAGATGCTCTCGGAAAGTATCAAGTGTGCGGCTGCAAACCAATTGATCGGGGCATCGATGTGGGTCAAGAAAAACGGAGACAGTTGACTGACGAGTTGCAGACTCAAGAGCACAAAAGAGATGCACCAGTAATTCCGAACAACTATTTTGTTGACAGAAAAGCCTCCTTTTAAATTGAATGTGTTGAAAACAAATGGACCGCCTGCCGAGAAAAATTTTCAATTGAATTTGCATTCACCCAGCGCAGGGTTAGCTCAGCATGGGAAGCATTATTTGAAAAATCCAAAGATTGCTGACAAAGGATATATGAAGGCGGAAAGAGATTTGATAATTCGAAATCACAAGAATCTGAGTCATATGGAATGATAAACTTGAGGGCGAAGGTGAAAGCGACAGGAATTAATGTTAAAATGCAGAGATTATGAAAATGCCGACCTTCTAGATCCCGCACAAGAACGAAAACTAGCAACTTTTGGCGTGGCTCCTCTCAAAATGACCACACGCAGCGTTTCGCTCTTCTTATCTTTCTGTGGTTGTGGCTCTCGTCAAAGCTGGAAGGCTGCTCTCTTGCTTCAGAGCAGACGTCGTGTTGACTGTTGAGCTCCGTTGCACCTCCTAGCTCTGCCTCCTAGCATCGTCCACGCAAGTAGGGTCACGCCCCACTATCGGAGAATGACGTCACAATGTCTGTTCAAGAATGATGACTTCAAGAAAGTCAAGAAACCACAATCTTTTTTTAACAAATTCAAGGGGCTCTGAAATTGACGTTATTTTTAAATTTTTGTTGCGGACATTCAGCTTTTATTTGACAAAAAAAGAAAAATCTCTAGAAAATCTAAGTCTTATATTATTGGAGTATCTATTGGTGTATGTTAAATAAAATATGACATACTTGATGTAAAATTTACCTTTCTTTTTGTATTTATATGCAATTTATCGCAATTTATAGTTCAAATATTTAACATTTAATGTACACAATAGAAAAGAAAAGAAAACGTGTCCATCATTTATCGTGGTTGAAATCGTCGCGTTGCTTTGCGTATTTTTCGAGCCTGCATTTGCGCGTTCGGATTCGGAGTCGAGGGCGTGTGAGTGGCACTGTAACAATTAAAATCACCAATTAAATCCAACAAAGTAATGATTAAAACTATCAATAGCAAATTAGTATCGAGAAAGATTTTCTACTAACCTAAAAGCAGTTGGCCCCATGCTTCCTGTGAAGTTGAAGGATGGTCTTATCTCAGGGTTGAACTGAGGAACTTGCTGATTGGCGTTGAATTGGAAACCTCCAACGGGACCAGCATTTGCCTGAAAAAGATAAGCAGGAAAAATTAACAAATTAGTTAAAAAATATTACTATCAAAATTCTTTAATTATGTAATTAATAATAAAAAGAAAACCAGAGTGCCAAGTGCCATTGGCTTTAAAAATTTGAATAGTTTAAATAAAATTCATACCTGCTGAGGCTGAGCAGCGCCAGGGTAGGCAGGCGGTGCATTCATGGAGAAGTTGAAGCCGCCTGCAGGCTGCGTCGAGCCAAAAGCAGGAGTCCCCATGCTCGGCGTGGCAAAAGGAGTTGGGGCGGCCGCTTGGCCGCCAAACAAGTTGGGTTCGGCCGGTTTCGGTGCCATCAGCGTGTTGGAGCCAAAGGGAGTTGCAGGTTTGTCCTTGCCAAAGGCAAACATGTTGTTGTTTGTGGCAGTTGGAGTGCCAGTGTTGGCGCCGAAACTAAATCCACCTGCAGGGGCGACTGGTTGGTTCATCTGAAAGGTTGGGGCTGGATGGCCGAACGACGGGGGCGTCGCGGTCTGAGCAGCAGGAGTGCCAAAAACAGGCACTGAAGTAGTCGCTTGGCCAAAGAGCAGAGGGTTGCTGGCACCAAAGTCAGAGGAAGCGGAAGGTGCAGGACTGCTTGAGGCAAAAGAGCCAAAGGTTGCTGGCGTCGTCGTCGCAGGGCTTCCTCCGAAGGGCGATGCAGGCACTCCAGTAGGTTTGAACGCGGTTATCGAAGGAACTGCTTCGAGCGGTTTGCTCCCAAACGGAACGATTTCTGTCGTTTTCGATCCAAACCCTTCCGAGGGTTTAGAATTGAAAAGCAACGGCGCCTCCTTAGCACCAAACATGGCCACCGGTTCAGGAGCTTTTGACCCAAAAGGTTCCGGAGACTTTACTCCAAAGACTGGAGTGGTGTCATTTGTGCCGAAAGCAAACGATTTTGGAGAGTCTGTAACGCTGATGGGGAAGGTGGTCTTCTTTGCGGCCAGAGCTCCGAATGCAGACTCTTTAGTTGGACCAGAAAATTGGAACATCTGAGGATTTCCTGAAGGTTTCGGTTCATTTTTCTTGGTTGCAGCCTGCTCCGCCTGGCTAGGAAATCCAAAGAGAGGAGTGTTGGTCGACGACGGTTGCGAGAAAGCAGAGGGCTTTGATGCGAATATGGAGAGGTTCTCGGTCTTCTTGGGTGTGGTGGACGCGTCTTCCTCACTCAAAAAATTGAATGATGGTCCAGGCTTTTTAGCCGGCGGCTCTGCATCTTTTTTTTCTTCGGCCGCTTTGGGTAGACTGAACTTGAGCCCTGCAAACTGGGGAGCTGCAGGAGAGTTTTCCTTGGGCAGCGAGTTGAGCTTGGCTGGGCTGCTTTGGTTGAACATAAAACCACCCGAAGGTTCTTCTGCATCCGCCTTGCGCTTCAGCTTGGGTGCTGTTGTGGCAGGGGGGTTGACAAACTGCACTGAAATGGTAGGGGCGGCGGTTTGGGCAGGTTTCACAGGGCTGGCTACTTTAGGGGGCTCTTCGGCTGCTTTGGCCGCAGGCATCCCAAAAGTGAAAGTCTTCGGCTTATCCTCTTCCGACGTTTTTGTTTCACCAAAGACAAAGCCCTTGGATGGTGCAGCATTTCCATCTTTATCTTTTGGCGCTCCAAAAGTGAAAAGAGACTTGGCATCGTCAGCTTTGGGTGCAGTGAAGGCAGGGGTTGTTCCGTTTCCGCTGGGCATCCCAAAGCTGTACTTTGGCTTGTTCTCCTCACTCGCCTTTGCTTTCGGTTTGTTGGGATTTTCATAGCTGCACGACGAAGATGAACACTTGGGTGCATCTTTGCCATTGTCAACCTTGCAAACTGGGCAAGACCACTTATCAGCAGGTTTTTTGAACATATCGCCAAAGCTGTTAACTGCAACACTTGGAGTGGAGGAAGATCCAGGCTTGGCAGCATTGCAGGCTGGGCAATTGAGAGCCTCTGGTTTATTGTTGCACATGCAATCAGGACACTCCCAAGACCCTGACGGTTTTAAGGGCATTGAAAAGGGTTTAGACACAACCTGAGCAGATTGGCTCGTAGCCGATTGAGTTGCCAGCTTGGGCGAATCGCAAGATACACATTTGTTGACATCAGATTTGTTGTTGACTAAACACACTGAACAGTCCCACGAGCCTTCAGCCTTCTTGAAAATAGAACCGAACCCTGTGGATGGCAGAGGGGCTGCTGGGGTAGCAGCAGGCAAAGGTGCTGAAGGCTTTTTTGGGGCCACTTTTGGTGTATTACACGAAATGCACTTGGCTGCTTCTGCCTTGTTGTTTACCATGCACTCCGAGCATTCCCAGGAACCCTCTGGTTTTTTGAACATGTCGCCGAATCCAGAACCAGCTGGCAACGGTTTCTTGTCCAATTTAGTGTCTTTTGCATCTTTGCCAATTGTTTCTGTGGCAGGCTTAACGGGTATGGGCTTGGGAGAGACCATTTTCATTTGGAAAGGAGAACTTAAAGCCGTCTGGGTCACAGGAGAGGCAGTTGAAGTGAGTCTCGGAGGCAGAAGTTCCACAGCAAGAGGTGATGAAAAGGTGAAAACTTGCAAATCACTTTTGTTCACTGAAGGTGCCACAGAGAAAGCGTTTGAAGAAGGAGCTTTCGGAGCAAAGTCAAAAGAGGGCAGGCTGGTTAATGGCAGGGAGATCTGTGGCAAGTCCACCACATCTGGGAGGTCTTCAATTATGTCATTTTGGTTCCTTCTGATTTTGTTGCATCGTTTTGCACTTAAACTCTCCTCTTGTCTGAAATTGAAAAAAAAAATCAATGAACAAAAAAGTATTTAGGGCTTTTTGAACATATTTAGTTGTATCCTAGAGGATTTATTATGTCAAAACAAAAATCATTTGAATGATCCTAAAAAGTAATAATACCTCAAACTGTAGGTAGGAACGTTGTCTTTCCACGCAGGTTTTGATTTGGGCAGAGTCAGACTTCTTGCAATGTCAACTTTATTATGCACCTTGTTCTGCAGCAAGTCCCTAACAGTTGGTGCATTCAGCGACTTGGTTGGGGGTCCGTGCTGTTGTCTTTGAGGTGGAGTGTAATCATAGATGGTATCTATCCTTCTCTTCAGGTTACCCGCCTCCCTGCCTGCCAGACTTTGGCTCAATGGACTAGCAGCATCGGCTGCTCTCAAAATTCGCTGACTTAAAGAGCTCAGTTGCGGCGATCGAGACACGTTATTCTAGAAGCCAGTGGTGGTCAGTAAATTACTTTTCGTACAGTAAGATTTTATACCTCAATTCTAGAAAAGCTCAAATTGGCCCCGTGCCGGTTAAGTGGCGCCCTGGCTGACAAAGAGCTCCGCAAAGACCCAGTTGAATTCATAAGTTCTAAGGATGTGTTCAGCTGCAAAATTAAATTTTTAATTTTGATACACAAAATTTTATTTGGACTCACGAAGCTAGGGAACGTTCCAGACGATCTTCTGTATGCTGAAGCTCCACCATAGCATGTTTTGCCTTTATAGAACGGTGATTTAGTCACATCTATCCTGTTGCCACTGCAAATCTGAATAAATTGAAAATAAAATATTTAAATTCCAAGGCCAGTTACGAGACAAGATTTTACCGAAGGAGATCGTATCAGCGACGGATCGAAATTTGGCCTCCTACTTTGTGCAGGAGGCTGCGGAGTGATTTTGCTCACTTCATTGGATGGATTAACAGAGTTGGGATCAAATACTGAAAAAGAAAAGTACTTATACCAAAAAGCAATTGAAAATTTTGCTTGAAATTTCATCTATTATCGACCCATTTGATAGTGTATTCAAAATTCAGTTCATAACTCACGCAGACTGTACAGCTGACTGCCTCGCTGTGTATTTTTTGATGATGTGTCTTGAGGCGCTTCAGCCATGTGGTTTTCTTGAGGTATCAAGGAGGAGCAGCCACTGGTCGATTCGCTGCTGTTGGATGCCTCATCTACTAATAATAAATTATCAATTAGTGTCTCTGCCAGAATTAACTTGGTAGTTCCATACCTGTGATTCCCAGACCACTCGAAGTGGGCACCAAGTATCTGTTGAGGTGCATCGGAGTGGACGTAGGGAAAAGGTCCTTATGGGAAAACTTGGCATTTTGTTGGTGTCCACTTGGGCCTGCCTCGTGGACTGCTCTACTTGCTGATGTGCTCGGCCCTGCAAGGAACACAAGAGATTTAGAAAAATGAGAAAAATCGACGGTTAAAAGTTTTTCCAGAATGGAAAAAATAATAAAACATTTTTAAATTTTATACTTTTTTGTTCATTAATTTTATTTCCAATAGATTAAATTTATAAATGTATACCTGGAAGGCTGGATGTACTGGGTACAGGTTCCGCAACCCAACTTGGGGTGTTCAGTTCAGTTCTCTGCCTTTTGGCAGGTGGGACTTGCATCTGGGGCGAGTGCTGTTGTTGCTGCTGCTGCGCAGGGTCTTGATGTCGACTCTGTTCGTCTTTTACCGCAGCCTCATCTTCGTTTGAAGAGGAAAACCACGACGATAATTTGTTTGGAATGTACTCTGACACCCTGCGTGTCATTCTCTTGACGAAAGACTGAAACGAATGAAATGATTTTTTTAAATAAGTAGCTGTAAATGTACCACAGGAAAATGAATTTCTTAATTCTCGATCATTTTAGGTTGCATTTAATTCCATTTAATACATAGGGATGGAAATTCTTTGCATAAAGGATTTTTTTTAATATATTTATTTATTGTTGGCTGAGTTTTCCCAACAATGTAATAATTCAGGAGTGTTTGGAAAATAAGAGGGTGGAAATTTGATAATTAGAGGGCGTTTGGTGACGTTTATGAAATAAACGAGAAGAATTTTCAAAAAAAAAAAAAGTAACGAACTTATCTGAAAGCTCAAAAATCATAATCCCAACTGTTGCGCAATGAAAGCATGTTGGAGAAGCATAAAATTCTTAAATTTGCTTCGTAATGCCTAAACGTAGAAAAATCTTCATTTTTCAAAAATTAAAAGAAAACCAGGATGAAATCACAAGTGTCGACGTAACGGCTTGAAAACAAATCTATTTTTATGTAAATTCGCGTGTGCCAAGGCAAAAAAAATCGTTACGGGGGTCTGCGGCGAGATCGAGAGTCCCGCGCTCGTGAAGCCGCGCCGGGAGTTTGAGATTCGCAACTTTGGCGGCCGAACTGGCACAAATTCTGCGGCGAAATAGCAGCATTGGGGCGAGCACGTGCTCCGATTATTTTACTGGTTGAAATTGAGGGTGGTTCGGCGACGGCGAGGCCGAATCGAGGGTCACGTCGGACAAGAGGTGCAAGACCGCGCGCGCTTTGGCTTGGCCGACGAATACTCACGTGAGAAGAGTCGTAGGGTTTGCCGGACTGCGACTTTTTGTTCCTCGACATTTTGCTAACGACAGACGGTGTGTGTGCTCGCGAATTTACATGAAACTGGAAAAATACCCGACGAAATACGGCACCGCGCGCGCTCCTTCCTGGACCACTTTAATCACATTTCAACATGGCAGCCGCAACGAACAAGCTTCTCCTGATTGGTCGAGCTCACCTCAATTCCACCGCAGCGAAAAGGAGCAAATCGAAAACCTCCTTGGCGACTCCGGTTGTTCTTCTTTCGGCGGAGAGAGGGAAGCACGGAAAATAAATTCTGGAAAGTGGGAATTCTCGTGCGGCTCGTCCCAAGGGCTCGTCTTTGTCTTCATGGCTTGAAATGCTTGAATGGGAACTTTTAGATGCTTTCCTTTCGAAATTTATTTGCATTGTTGTCATTCAGACCAAATTTAATCATTTCTAGAATGAAAATATTCAACAATTATCAGTTTTCACCGATCCAAAAAAAACTTTAAAAACTTTAACATTTAATTATTATCAATCATACAGTAAAAGTAACAACGAAAATCTCTTGATCATTAGATTAAATTAATCAAATTCATTTTATAAAATTTTTCTAAACAGACTAAAAATTTCATTTCTTTACTTTTACTGACCTAGCTCATCTTTAATTTTTTTCAACCAAGGATCTCTATTTAAAACAACCAATATAAATTTGAACCCCTAAATTAATTTATCAATTAACAAAATAATAATGAATTGGAACACCACTGTGCATTTAATTTGTTACAGTATTGCTTCCCTGCGGTCCTACGTGGGGCTAACTTATTATGTATGAATGACTTGTGAGAAAAATTAAAAAAATTATTTTTGGTATTATTTTCAACAATTATATTTATCAACTTTTCTCCCATTTTTCTCCTTCACGTACTTCATATTTTTTTCCTTATTTTATTATATAGGCTTGAGATTCTTGAGAACTGTCTATAAAAAAAATTAGAATAGTAAAAAAATTAGGATGCATAAGGCAATTTTGAATGGTTCAGAAAAAATTAATCAATTTGTTTTCTTTTTATTATTAAAATAGATCAAATTGTTCAAAAGCTCAAACGTGTGCAACATTTTTATGTTTGTTTGGCGTTTTGCAAGGCAAATTTCAGAGGAGAATTAAAATTCCACTTGAGATTGAATAAACAATTAAAATATTTTTCTGCAAAAAAATTTATAGAAGCATTTAAAAATGATAATTTTCTAAACTTTTAAGGCATAATTTTTACTTTTGTTTCAAAGATTTTGAATGATTTAAGATTTTATTGTTGAACCTTCTTCACCCTATTCATTTTTGATCAAAATTGAAAAAAAAAATCCAAAAAATATTAGTGATGTAAGTTCTTCTATAAGTCGTCATTGACGAATTATGATCTTTCCAGCTTTCAAATGTAACTTAAATTTTATTTTAGGTAAAATAAATTTTTCTTTCTTTTATGAAGGTGCATAACAAACCACAAATTCATTTATCTTGACACTCAAACCGTCAAACCTGAATAACGCTTTGCATAAAAGGGGCGAAAACGAATTCCTTCCGGTGCTGTCCTATCAACAAAGATCACCGCTATGATTTCTCTGCTCGCGAAATAAGAATCTCAAATAATATAGACACTCACGAATGCCAGCTGCGGAGGAGAACAAAAGTAGCGGCTAATTACATGGGCAAATAGCACACGCGGAGCAATGAGAACATAAACAAATAAGTGACACACACTCTTATTATTGGAGTCGTCGGAGTAGTGCACGTAATACACGCGGAGGAAAAAAATTGTCAAACGCATCTAACCTGCTGACCCAGCTAAATGCGAATTGCCGAACGAGAAAAAGAAACAAGGACCACGCAATTTGCGTGAGGCGCTCGCACTCTTTTGTCATCATAATGTCACGCTTTCCAGCTGAAATCTACTTCTTGCTTATACACGGAATGATTTGTACGTGGTATTATTTGATGCAATCCCAGTAAATCTGTATAATGCGCTCTGATGAGTGAATAAAGTGCGACAATTTTCCTTTTATTTAGATTAATGGATTTGCGTTCAGCTCTGCCGACTTCCATGCATTTGTATTTTGACACAATATTCAAATATAAAAATGTTGTGTCGTTTATAATATTATTCGATATATTCAAAACTAGTTTTACAGATAAATGAAATTCATTTAGCCTCAATAAGTTATTTATGAAGTTATTATTATCGCACATCGGTCTGAAATACCTAAAGATATTCTCAAAAAAATTTACGGATTGAAATATTGTGTTTTTCTGGATTAATAAATATCAGTAAATTATGTATTATTTTCAAGATGTGTATACAAATCTTGAAAATAATGTGTGAGAAAAGGGCAGGTTATGAATGGTCGGTGCACTCCATACTCTGGCCAAAGCTATAATTCATTTCCCTTTTGCTCGCCTTTCCGTTGAGCCCATCCCCAAACCATAAATTACACCCAGAGTTCAAACAATTTTCTCCAGATAAATAAAGTCATATGATCAAAGAAAGAGAAAAAAAAGTTGCTTTTTGTCTGACTTAAAATTAGAAAATGCTGTTGAACTAATGCTGGAACTCGATGATTGAATCCAAATTTTTAATCAGTCGCAAATAAAGACTCCTTTTTAAAATTATTTTGAGTTAGGATGATAAAACAAAACCTAAATTTGAAAATGGAAAAAATTTTATTAAATAAATGTTTATTCACATTTTACATTTTTAAAGCAATCAAAAGATTGAAAAATAAATTCACTATTAGAATGTAAAAAATTCAACAAAAGTAATCAATTACTTACATCCATCCAGATTTAAATGATGCAAAATATATATTGAATTATTTTGTTTAAATACCTAATATTTGAATGGGCAAACCTTAAACAAATTTATTGCGTATAATTTCACACTTAATACATAATTCTTATTGTGTCTGCAGTTGCATCCTTGAAAAAAAAAACATTTGTGCGGAACTGCACTAAAATTCAGCATAGCTCAATTATTTGCCTCACACGTTAATGAGTGGATTGTTCTTGAATTGTTACATGTGCGTGTACAAATTGTGCGTGAATAATTTTGAATGAAAAACTACCAAAACAATTGACTTGTTGCGCAACAGAATAAAAGGAAAAAATCGTTCTCCATCCTGATTGTAAAAAGGTCACCAATTTTCCGGCTTCCGAAATTTGACCGGCGGCCTCTAATCGCTCTAGTCCCCTTTGTCGTCGCACGTAATTAGCATAATATGTACGTGTGTGAGTGTGGCATATGCACGCGGAAAAGAAGAAGGAAGCGCCGTCGCTTACTCATGCACCGCATCAATTAAAATGTAGCAGGCGATTGTGTGATACTTTCGTCGGAACGGACGGAGGGGAAGTTGGTAAGGTAAGGAGAGTGACGTCAGCTGCCGCCGCGCGAAGGTACTTTCGGGGAGGACTGCGCTTCTCGGCAGGTGGAATCGAAACTGTTATACGCTTTGAGATCACTCGTGAGGTTGCGTGACGTGAGGAAGGTTGTCCAGAGAGGAGTTCCCCAAGTGCAGTCACTCACCCTCGTTCGACTCGATCAGGGTCCGCCGCGGTTTCAGTTCAACTCTGCCAAAAGACTGAGCCTGCAAGATGAAGAGGCGGCATTTAGTTAGCGTTTTCTTCCTGCTCTTCGCCGTCTGCAAGGGTGAGTTTCAATTTAATTCAAAAGGAACTGAAAATATGTAATTTTTTATTGTAAAGATTGTCTGCAAAAATTGAACAAGCTAAAAGAAAGATCTGGCCTCTTTTTAGAAAGGTCAAGTTAATTATTATTTATTTAAAGTTTAGGGTTTTTATATAATTTTAAATTATTGACATTTAATGGTACTTATTGTATTTTGCAATCTTATCTATCTGTCGACAAGACTTAACCATTTAGCAGGGTAACCTTTTTAGATTTTTTTTATCTGAATCGCCCTTTTAGTAATCATTTTGAGGAAGCCCTAAAAGTCTGTCGCTCCCATTTCCTCTCATCTCATCGCACATGTTTTAAGTTCTATGGGTGCAGGTTTTCGTTTGCTTTTCTTGATAAAATCCATAAAATCTTTACCTCGATGATGGATTACAAGCCGCTTTCCCATCGCTCAGGAATTTTAACAAGCGGGCTATTTCCAAAAGGGCTGTTTCTCCTCTTATTTTATTGCCTTTTTGTTCCCATTTGTGTCCGCGCGACCTTTTATACCTGCTGCTGCTGCTTTTTGTTGATGATCGGCGGCGGTCAGCAGCAGCAGGGGTGAGAATAAAACCTCCCCCACGGCAGAAATGCACCAAACTTCCTTTTTCAGGGGATGAAGCGCCGAAATTCGCCTTATCGCTCATCCATGGATGTTCGTTGCGAAGAAAAAAAAGTAACAACTCACTTTTGCCGGCGCCGCGGTTTCGATTCGTCTCCGCACGCGAGTTTCTTGTATCAAGTTTTCGAATTCACTCGCACCCATTTATTTTATACGGTACTTTTATAAAAATTGAGTAGAATAACGCGGAACGCACGTAGAGGATGTGCGGTTGGCGCGGAAGAAGTAATATATGATGGAAAAGCGGCGTCTTCTTTGCCATGAAGATCGCTTCTGGCAATTTTGCGGCTGGGCAGCCAAATTGGTTCTTATTATAGAAGTAGCGGCGCAATAATCCGAGTAAATTTCCCGTGATTTTCGATTTTCATGCTACTTTGATGGAAAAAATCTCTTAATTTATCTTTTTGTTGTAAAATTTAAAAGTAAAATTTTCGAAATTATGCGCAAAATTCAATAAAAAAAAACTTCAAACCTTTTGCACCACACGTTACTTATTATTTTCAAAAAGTAAATTTATAATTTATTAAAAAAAAATTCCATTTAGATGAGTCAAATAAAAATATTTTTCACCAATAAAAAGAAACGTTTAATTTAATGCATTAGTTCTTAAGTGCTACTTCTCGACTTCCAATAACTGTTGTGGTGAATGCACTTTCATTCCCATTTTAGCTGCGCGAGCCTTGACATTGTCATGTCAAAAGCGGCTAACATTCCTCGCAAGGCGGATAATGATGAGCGCATGTAACACTCCTACACGTTGACCTAGTGACTGCGGAGGAAAAATATTTATATGCTCTGCGAATATGAGTAAAACGTACAAGTAACGGAACCTTTTTTACTTACAATTAATTTACAAAATAAAGTGATTTCATATAAAAGTATTGTAACAAAAAAAAAGATGTTCAAAAGTTAAAATTATTGTTGGAATGTAAAATTCTTTAAAAAAAAGTACATGTACAATTTTAAATTCAATGTAACTTTCATCAGTATGTATATTTAGGCGCGCCTTTGAATTTCAAAACTGATTTCTTATATCAACAAAAACCTTGCCCTACGAAAAATTATTTATACTTCTTTCAAAGGCCAAATTTTTGCTTTGCACATTTAATGGAATATGTTTTCATCATCAGACAAAAGGATGTTTTGTGCCAAAAATATTACACGCAGAAGAGATCCTTGCAGGATACATTTTTATTCAAATCACGCACCAAAAAGGCACGCCGCTCTTGGATTCCAATAAAGATTGTCTGCGCCACATTTCAATGAGCAAAGAGGCCCTGAATACAAATTAGCCTCCCAATCAAAGAAAGAAAGAAAGCAATCAGCAGTTCATTTATAAAATTAATTAAATGTTAAACGTGTGTATATAATCAAAGGCAGACGCGCCCAGTCTTAAATCGCATGCAAATTCCTACGCAAGGTGGGTCACACCGCAATATTCTCTCATTTGTTTGCTATTATTTGTGTCAGATTCTATGGAGTTGCTATTCACAAATTGGTTTCTTCGCACTATAGGACGGGCGAGAGGGCCCGTTAACTCTCGTTTGTCGCCGCGTTCGACGGACACACCTGGAAAAAAGTTAATCCGCATTTGTCACTGTCCTAAAGTCATCCATTGACAGTTACTGTGACGACTCTGCACACTCTATTTGCTTTCCACTCGACTCGCGAGTCGGAATGGCAAAAGGCAAAACTTACATTACCACACTGTTATTTTTAATAACATTTCATTGCTTTCTTTCATTTTTTTTGTCTGTAAAAAATAAGCGTTTGTTTAAATAATGATAGATTGGAATTTGAATTACTTTAATATTTGTTTGTGATACCAAATACGATAATACTCACAATCAGCAGATTTTATTCTAAATTGGAAAAATAATTATAATTAATACAAAAGAAACACATTTGAATACATAGGAATTATGTAATTAAAACTGTTTCTATCAACACTATAATATAAAATGCCTATATTATTATACCAAACAACCAGATTTGTTGATTTTCAAACAAATTTCTGGTTAGAATACAACTTAATTAAAAAATATCATGCAAAGTGAAAATCGTGATGAAAGAATTAAAACCACGGCGTCCGCCAAAATAAGTGTGTTGACGCTGTAGTGAAGTGAAGCTTGCGGTAAAGCGTCTATCAAGGGTTCAAATACTTTGACCCTTTGCAAGCTTTAAAAACGATGATCTATCCTCTTCAGTAGAAAAAGATGAGTCATTAAGTTAAGGTGCAAACCGCTCATCAGCCATCTCAATGCGGATCTTTAAGTTTTGTTGCAGGATTATTTTGGGCGTTTGCTCAAAACCCTTTTTTTCATTTAAAAATAAACCTGATCGTTTTATTAAAATTTTTTTTAATTCAGAATAATTTGCAATCGTCTTAAAATTTGCCAGTGAAATTCAAATTTTTTATAATATATGTCATGTTTTTTTAATGCAAGTAAAAAGTGTCAAACACGATTAAATATTGTGCATTAATTAACGTGTCCGGCTGATTGCTGCTGGACACATCCGGGATAAACTTTCCCTGCTTTCCAAATGTACTGAAAGCAGGAAAGTAATGAGAATTTTTTACAAACGAGAAGCCGATTTGGCGATCAAGAGCTGATGGGAGAGGAAGCGCATGAGGTGCACCGCGCTGTTAAATCGAGCAGATTGTTTCCTTTTGATTCACGGCGAGAGCAACAAAGTGCTAAGTCGTTTCCGTGCCGCGCCAATATACTGATTATTCATCTCAAACAATTGCGAGTAGAAAGTCCTTGGAGATGCTGCAATTTATTGAACACGGCAGCCCTTTTGTCGCGCGCGCGACAGGAAAAACCTACTTTTCGAATCAATCAAAAGAAATCAATGACCGGTGCGAGTTTTTTGTTTCAATAAACATGAAAATCCGAGCCGTTCTCTGCGAAAAGTCTTCATTTGTTTTGGACGGTAATTATGTCACTCGGTCTCTCCCGTCACGCCAATAAAAATAACGCACGTCTCGTCGTTAATTTTATTACACTCAAATTGCACAATCACGCGCGGAGAAGGTTTCACTCAATTCTCGGCATTGTTTTTGCTTCTGTCGTGTTATTCAAACGGAAAAGCAAAACAAACGCGTCATTTTTCACTTACAGACATGCAGAAAAAGGAGAAACTATCGGATGAGCAGTAATTAAGAGATAAATATGCACGACGGCAATTTTGCGATTGGGTGTTCTGCATGCTCGTGTTAAGGATCCTTTGTTTTAGAAACTTGCAAAAGCGTGGAAGATCTTTGCTTAATTTCTCCTTGAAACATGCAATTTGCATATTTTGAAAACGTGATTTCTCGTTAATTACCAGCTGATTTCAAAATTTTTCTGACTTCTCCTTATCTCTTAAACAAAAGGCAACAATCATGTGTGCAAAAAATGCAAGGGTTCTTATATCTTTAAAAATAAATTCTGGAAAATTAATATCATAAATTGAATAATATGATAAACATAAACAACAATTTTTAATCTATTTATTTAAATAAAATTGAGCTCTTTTTACTTATAAGATTTTAATGATGCACGTTTTCATGAAAACTCCAATGTCGTCCAAATTTCATGCTCGAATTCAATCATTCTCTTCTTCTCTCCATATATGCGTGCGAAATAAATCAAACAATTTCATCGTGTTTTCACTTTGCTCTTGATGAGAAATCAAAGATATTAACCGATTTTTATTTTCAACATGCATCTCTGGCTCTTTTGATTTATGTGAGAGTCTGAATGCATTTTTTTAAAATTGTTATCCCGCGCCGGGATCGCACTCCAATTTCACGTTCCTTTTATTTTGACGTGCGCCACGCGGTGTTTACGTAATGCAGAGAATAGCTGCATATTCGACGATAATGAAATGCACGCGGCGGCGAACATAATTTTCTGCTAGCCTGCCTGCGATTCTTCTCTCCTGCTCATTGTTATAAAGTGCCCTAATAAACAGCAGAATACCGCCGCGTGCAATCAAATCATACATCATCATGTTCGCAGCATGCTTTTCAATACAATTATAGAGTGCATGCGCGCAATGAATGAAAATTCTTGCGCCTTTCGATTCAGATGAAAAATTTTACTAACTTTATATACAACAATAAGTGGCAATGAACACATTACAAAATGAATTATGACATTTGTGGAGAGCAACAAAGCTCATTAGTCGTTTCCTTTTACTGACTTATTTTAATTTTTTGTTCCATATTATTAATTTTCATTAAAATTGCTTTTACACAGGAAAGAGGAAAATTGCTTGAGTACTTAGAGTTTGCACTTTAGATATTTACAAATGCGATTGTTAATAATTAGTTTAGTCCTGAGTCATTTCTTAATTCATAACATTAGTGGAAAAAAAATGTGTACTCCAAATAAGCGAATAATTAGGATAAAATTCTATTGTATTAAGTAAAAATATTAATTATTTTATTTAAATTCAATTAAACAAAATTGCTTATTACCGCATCGATAAATTTTGAATTCAGAAAAGAGTAAACCATGCAGGATAGGAACAACTATAGAAACGTAAAAATTGTGCAAAAATTAATACGTTGGTATTTGGACAGTTTTTTTTTCAAATAAATTTATTTCTGCTTTGGGAATTCAGAGCCGTTATACAAATTCTTGCGCGTTCCGCTCGAGTCAATCCGTCCAATATCTGACCAACGCTAGTTTTTTTGATTAAGCCCTGTTTTTGTTTTCCTTTAGCACTGGTTTTTAGCATTGGTGTGGCGCCTCGGCTTGTTATATTTAATCATTATCAGCAGCAATGCCGCGCCGGGCGGTTGACCCTTCTCCCGTTAACTTTTTAGATAACACGCCGACCGCGTGCATTACTCGCTAAGAAACGCACTTCGCGATATAATTTTTTTCCCTTTACATTTCCTATGAAATTATAACAGGAAGTGCATCTCGGTTCAAACGGTTTATCTATAAATATATAAATTAAAAATTAAATTACTGCACTTTTGATGGAAAAATCGAGTTCGGCGCCTTTCTTGGAGCGAACGTGACCGATCAATAAAAACGAAATGAATGGCGTGCACATCTCGTCTGCGGGTGCTCCCTAGGCAGGGAAACTGTTTTCTTTTTATATTCTTTTTTTATTTTGCTCATCTGGCCGAGCAATCACCCGAAAACTCAATGGTCAAGATCGAGGAGCGGCGAAAAATGTCGACGTCAAGGCCCTTTTAAGCACCTCGTGGATCTAGAGCTGCTCATGCTAGCCAATGCTGGCCAGTGCTGGGGAACAGTTACTTTTGGATGCGTGTGTGTAGCGCCTCTTGAGTTGGACGTTATCGCGCGTATATTATATGTATATATAGGGACACGCCAAATTACAGAGAGCAAAATTCGAAAAACAGGTGGAAGGGATAACAGCTCTGATTTGGCTGCCGAGCAGATTCCTCAAAATTGATAAACACACCTGGGTTGATGGACCCAACGTAAAATTATTTATTACCAAACTTTCCTCTCTCCGTTGCTTCTGCTTCAATTTCGCCGACACGAAAATTGCTATATTGGATTTAGACAGTATAGTTATTAAAATTCTTTCGCGTTTCTCAAGTAAAAAATCTTTTGATACATTGTTCTTCCCTCAATAAATTAGGAAATTAATTTTTAAACAATTATTTTCTAAATACCTTGCTAAATACAATTGCTACTTTTAAAAACATGTTAAATATAAAATTCATTAAATTGACAGCGAAATAAGTTTTAAGTGAAAAATTCAAAAAAATATTCTTCACAATATTATTTTTTATTGTATATAAAAATGAGCATCAGAAAGAAAAAGGAAATTTTTTTAAATAATAATTTGTCTCTTATTATTTTGATTTCAGTCTCCCTTGCTGAGGGCCCAAAGTGCCGTTTCCCTGGAGCACCAGCCCACTCGACCGTCACCTTTTCAGACGATGAAATGTCCACAGGCACCGTGGCCACCTACAGCTGCGAAAGGGGCTTTGAGTTGCTAGGCCCCTCCAGACGGGTGTGCGGCGAAGACGGAACGTGGGCACCTGAAGGGATTCCCTTCTGCGGTGAGTACCAACATGACTTTTCGAAACACTTCACTCGGGAGATGAATTCGTTTTTCCTTGGGGAGAGAGATAGAGAGTCATCAAACTCGCTGGCGGTAATATTTCTTTTTGAAAGAACAATAATGAGAAAAATAAATAATGTTAACTGCGATCTCAAATGGGAAAAAAATACAACAGCAAGAAATGCTGGAAAACCGATTCATTATTTGAGCTTGAGCGATTCTTGAGCATAGCGCAGGAAAACCTCTGAGTAATTACTAATTGCTAATTGCAATGGATTTTTTTTCATTTTTAAATATAAAAGCAAACTAAAAAACGGAGGTTTAAACCGGCTGTTGTGGTTATTACTACTAATGAGTTGTTTAACCATTGCGTCGGAACGAAATGGGCAGAAAAAAATCAGCGACCCACAGCTTACAGGTGCAGACAAAATGTAAAATGCCAAGCTCGAATCTCGTCCGTTCTTTGTGAATAGGCCGCGTAGAGATGCTCTTTTGTCGGGGAGTGAAATCTCACACCTCATCACCCATATTTTACGCATTGTTATCCTTTCTCGCGTGCTGCTCTTTTGTGAGGCCGAATAATAACTTTTCAGAAGCTTCAATTGAAAGAAAATTTGCTTTCTCGATTATAGACATATATGAAAATTGTTTATTTGCTCAAGTGAAGTAAAAAAAAAAATTAGCTGATATTTCAATTAGGATTTGAAAGCAAAATCTTTTAATAGAAAGAAATATTTAATTTTTTACAGTTTTGCATTTTGCTCCGTAGCAATATCGATCTTGAAACGAGAAAAAGTTCCGGTCCAAAAAGTCGCAGCTTGATCAGCGCCGTGAGAATTTACAGTTGCGATCGCTTGGCTTCGCGGCGGTACTTGAACAAAACGATCATCGTGTTGCTGGCTGCGAATTGTGCAATGGGTCATCAACGCGCGGAATGCCTCGCTGATCGACCTTGGCCTAGCGCGAGGAGGGATGCGTAAATTTATATACAACTCGCGGCATAATCCGTGTAGGCATAGGAGCAGGTTGCTGCTCCTCCATATACGCGCTCAGCATATTACAGGATTTAATAATTACCGTTAGGTTCTCACTCGTGCTGCTGCGGCTGCCGAGATGCCGCCGCGCGCCATGTGCACCTCTCCCGTATATATAAAATAATAAATCGCATAATGTTCACTCGCACACACACACACACGGCCGATGAAGTAATCGCTCGAGGATGCGCGGCTAATTGCCATGCGAAAAATTAGTGAAACCCACGGCCATTTTTCGCTTGATGGGAGATCTTTTCTTTATAGATGGTCAAATCCTTTTTATCAAAAGAAAAGGTTTAAGTTGTTAAGAAAATTATTTCAAAGTCAACGGAAAATTGCAAAGAATAATGATATACTCGAAATTATCAAAAATAAAATAAAATTGCCATGCAATTAATAGCTGTAAAGAAGGAGCTAGTCGTGGAATGCCAATTAATAGGCAGGTTCTAAATATATGCTCATTCGTAACGGTTTTCGTTTCTATAATTTAAACAGGTTAATTGATGCAATAACTGGACACGGTCTATGCTGGTATAATAAGCCTTACATAATTATGAAACCTGTAAAATAAAGTAAAGTAAATTATTTGCAATAAAAAATCCATCTTTAATAAAATCGATCACAAACTTGATCATTTTATTGCATTTTATAAGAATATTAATTAGTTTTATCGGTTTAATCAGAAACAATTATTAAATAATTTTTTTCCTACTGTTTACTATAAACATAAGAAATTTTACTGATTCTGTAAGAATACAAGGAAACTGAGTAAAAACAATGCAACAAATTAACTACACTCGGGACTCAAATTTGATACTGTTTAAAAAATTCTTCTTTCATTTATCAAAGATTTATAGTTTTTTTATAGTTATTACACGCGTGCATTTTCTTTTCAGCTTAGCTCCTATTAACGAATTAATAAAATCGAAAACGCAACTCTACACTCGCTGCGTGAGATTCGCGTGAAAATAAAGCATCACGCGGCGTGACATTTCTCGCTTCTGCAAAACCACTCCGCCGATGCCGAGGGAATCACCGTGCGGCGGCGGCGGATCTTTCATCCACAAAAACTTTCACGAGAAAAGTACATGGCAAAGGTGAAAGGATTTGAAAGCGAACCCCCGACAATAAAAATTATATTTATGCTAATATTCTAGATACGAATGATACTTACTTACATACCTCCTAGTGTGGATGTGTGTGTAACATAACAATATAATTAAACACCGGCAGGAACAATTTTACCGACGGAGCGCACGCCTCGTGCAAAAACATTAATTTTGAGGAGTGAAAGAAAGTGTGGGTCATAAAAAGTAATAAAAACCGGATAAGAAAAGCTCTGGATTTCTTATTTTTGTCACTGGCTGCGAGGAAGTCCAATTTCTTCCACCGATGTTCTGCCTGCGTGAGTGAACTTGTATGGAAAAAAATAAACAATCCCATGGGTCGAAGTAAAGGCGCCAGCAGCAGGTATTATTTTCACAGAGCCTCTAATTGCCGCGAACAAATCTCTGCTGGGCGAGAAAGGTGAATAATAGAGCGCCGCGTGTTTTGGTGGAAAACAATTTTCACGCACTCGCAGCATGATCCCATTTTTGACGAAATCCGGGTGGGCACCAAATGAAATAATATTCCTCTCCTCTCCTCGAGATGTGCTAAAGAATTTCACGTGTTTTAGCACAACATAATAATACGAAAATCGTTCGCAGCAAAAGGCACCTAGGCGTAACTTTGCGCCGTTATGGAGCAGCAAAACTCGCTCGCTGCAGAGTTTACTGTTTTTCACTCCGAATGCGCTCGCTGAAATATGCCTGCTTTCAATTAAAAGCCTTCGTAATTTTTTTTCACTTCAACTCTTTAATCTCAGCAGTGCCAAATTCAATTTCGTTCCGAATCAATTTGTTCAACTGCTGTTGGGGGTTCCAGGCGGTGCCATCTGACGTGTTTGCCCAGCTGCAAAGATTACTCGAGTGCAACTTTACTCAGCAATTAGGGGAACAAAGGCAGCGAGAGATTGAATAAATTGATTTTGAGCCGCCTGTCGATGATCGCATGATACTCTCGGCATAATGAATCGGATGCAAAGTGTTGCATTGTTTCGCTTGACAGCCTTTGTTTCTCTCAGCAGGAACTCCTTTGCACATTGAAAGTTTAATCAGAATCGGCTGGCAACTCTTATTATGTTTTTTAGAGCTTATAACAAATCTTTAAAATTTAAATGCAAAAACGGCCTTGCAAATGAAAGACTAGAGAAAAGTCCGGAAAGCTGAAATTTTGTGCAAAAAAAAGTAGTAATACAAAAACAAAATTAATGCATAAAAAAATTTAATGTTAAATAAAAAATGGTTTTTACTTATTAAGTTAATTAAAAAAATTTAGAATTTCATCATTCCTCAAAAAAAACCAACAAAAAAGGCAAAACAAAAAGAAAAGTCTCTAGAATGTAAAAATAATTTTATATTAAATTCATAGAATTTATTTACATTCAAATGAATAATTTTTGCAAAACCACAGTTCTTAAGATCTTGGATGTCTTGTTAAATATTTTTTTTAATGCGATGTATAAAAAATGACCCAGCTTAAAATAAAATTCCTCTCTTTTAATGAGCAGGGAACATTTCAAGCTCTTTGATTTGATGAAGTGGCTCTTTTATGAATCCGACCCAGACTCAAATTTGCCCAGCACATTGGTGATGAGATGATCCTGTTTTGCTCTCCATCAAATTTAAACCGGCAATCTTCTTTCCGTCCTTGGGGGCAAAAACAGGGTTCACTTATTTATAACGCGGCTGACAGAAAAAGATGGACTCGCAATTATGCACAAGCAACAACGTGGCCTAATTCTCGAGAGCGGCAGTCCGGTTGTTGGCGAGTGAGCGTAAAATAAAAGTCGCAGACCGCTATGTATCTGGACGAAATCCACCTTGCATAATTGCGCCGCACACGGGCCTCTCGCCGCGCGAATAAGAAACCATGTTAAAATTCATTTGAGGAAAATCCTCGCGCGCGCGTTCTGCTCTTTGTATGACCAATCGAAGCAATCACACTTGACTTGCTCCTGGAATGACTCGAAGAAATTTCCAACCGCTTGCTTTCTCATTAGCTTAAAATCATCAACTCGCAGCCGCAGGATAAATGCGCGGCGAATCATCAAAATAATCACACCGTCTATTTTTGAGCGAATGATATTTTACATGAATAGGCACCCAAGGTTCATTCGCCTTTTCTTTTATTTTCATAATGACTCGTCAGTGTGTATTCAAAGAATGTTGATTTGATATGCAATTCATGAATTAGATATTTTTCCTTTTGGCGAACAAAAGATGAAAGATCAACAAAATCTTTTGTTTTCGTTTATATCTTTCTCACAATTAGAAAATAAATCAGAATCAAATGGCGATGGCTGTGTAAAAAATCTTTGTACCGGCTTTATAACTAATATTGAAAAATTATTATAAAAATTTAAATCGATATCGTTAGCATCAAATCAATGAACCACAAAATTACTGAACAAAATTTTTATAATAAAAAGACTGCCATTGATTTTTATTATCAATTCTGAAGCTATGGTAATAAAATAAATTTAAAGCCAACTATAACAAAAGCGAAAATCTCCCAATTTGCGTCAATATTAAGCCAGAGTTACGCGAGAGGTGCGAGAAATTATAAGGGCGTTCACCTTTCCTCTTTTTTATTTTGTTTGCAGTCTCTGTGGATAACAAAAGACGGCTCAAGTGTCAACTTAATTCTCTCAAACTCTTTCGCGTGCGTGCAATTTCGGTGCAAGTGACGAGTCGCGGATAAAAACGAGTTCTAGCTTGTTCTTCCATCCATGTGAGCCCAAACTTAGTTTTGTAATCAACGCGCCAATTAGACGAAAATTAAAAGCTGCCTGTCGCGTGTGCTTCCATTTTTACTTAATTTCTTGTGTCACTTTTTAAATCGGCAAGTGTGCTGCCCCAAA